TGTCTTTTTTTCCCTCTTTTTTTCAAGGGCTCCAACCTGTTTTTTTTTTCTTCCAGAAAACGGGGCTCCCACCTAGCAAAGGTTTTGAGGGAGCCTAGCTCTTACCGGCCATGCTGGGAGCGGATGTCTCGAGTCTCGTGCGGGGGAAAGAAATGTAAGGGGGCTGGAGGTAGTAGGTGGAAATTGGGAACATATTCCCGTCTCCCCTTACACACTTTCGCCCTTTTCGCACGGGAGACGTTATTTTAAAGCACCTTTTCGAGCACATTTTACTTCAAAACATGATAGAGGTGTCCATGACAGGTAGAGAGTGCACAATACCACACAATTCAAGGGTCCTAAGATCACTAATTCACGCAATCAACCAACACAATATGAAGAAGAAAGGAGACTTCTTAAATGCATCAACATCCTCCATAGTGCTACACTACCTCCCTAGGTTGCATATTACTATAAAGACTGTCAATTCAAAACATACTGAGCAGGAAGTTGCAAGGAGCACGTGCTTGGAGCCCTCAAATAAAAATTTGGATAGTGGACTAGGCTCCAAGCACACACATACAGCCAAACATTCACACGCATACATAATCGAACATCCCTCCACACTTAAGCACAACATTGTCCTCAATGGAGGAAAGATAAGGAGGGTAGAACGAAGTTACCAAATCAAGGGTGAATGATGGTGGACAGGGCAGGCGGTGCATTCTAGGAGGGGAGAGTAGTCGGAACACAAACACCACACAAAATCTCAAAGGTTGAGTTATTGACTCTAAAATAAAAGAACAAAACTGACTCAACTGAGGAGAAAAAGAGAAAGAAATGCAAACCGACTGGTTGGGTTGCCTCCCAACAAGCTCTTCTTTCACGTCGTGAGCCAGACGATGGCTCCTAAGTTTCGGTCCACCCCAAAACCTCCTTGAAGTTGAGGTTCTCGTCGATGAGGTGGAGTCTCAAGTCACGAACATGTGGTATGACAGGTGATGGAAGCTCGTGCACTTGATGCAGATAACGTCTCCACCCTCGAGACCTCTTCTTCTCTTCTCTCGTCTCATTGCCCCAAATCAGATATGACAACATCGATTGACCACCATCGCATCCACCAAGAGGGACCGATGTCGATGTGGCCTTGGTCTGGCAAAGAGACACTGCAAATGGGTCCTTGCTAAGTAGTTCCTCGAAGTTTGGTGGAGATCTCACATGTAACTCATGGCCGGTGCAAGCCTCTTCCACCTCAACTTCGTCCTCGGCCTGGACGCCAATTGCTTCTTCAACCCCCCCCCCCCCTTCCTTCTTCATGTGGTATCACCCCTGGGAAATGATCAAGAACTCCTTCTGCTTCACTTTCTTCATCCTCCACAACTTCTTTCTGCACCCTTTCTTGCTCTTCTTCTTCCAGCACGGATTGGAAGGCAAGTCACCAAGCAATTTCTTTGATGAGATCTTCTTACATCTCCTCACTCATGCCCGCCTCTTCAAAGCTCAGTGTGGGATGTGGGAAGGTGTGGTCGGCTACGACAAGACATTCCTGATCATGATCATCAAGGGAGCTCTTCTTGACAAGTTTTGTGTGCTCCACAATGTCTTCGTAGCCTTTGTCTTCCTCCTCCTCTTCTAGTATAGTAGCCAAAGGGTGATCTTGATCATGCTGTGCATAAGATTTCTCAAGATCATCGAGGCTCCTCTTAATGCTCAGGAGGATCTCCTCTGTTTCACGATAGGCCTGGGTACAAAGATCCATCCTGGAGCATGATCTCTTACTGTCTCGAGCAAACTGCTCCATGAATAGCCTCAATTCATAGTTTGGATCTGGCTATGGAGTGTAGCATGGCTCTGCAGAATGGCCCGTGAAGGCCACCATGGGTAACTCCAGCTCCGATGGCCCTTCTGGTTGTGGAGAAATTCTTCTTGATAATGAGGTTGTTCTTGATATGCCTAGGGGTCTCATTGTTCTCTGTAGTAAGGGGGTTGGTACTGGAACCCGAATCCGTAGTCCTCTCCTCCTTGATTGCTCTAGGGAGTCTCTAGGTAATACCACTCAGATGGTGGTGGATACCCCCAATGGTTGGAGAAGCCATGAGGATCCTAATAATCCAGAAAGTCCCCTACAACGGCGCCAAAAACTTGACACGCTACGACACAACTCCTAACAATGGCCAAGTGTAACCAATGAAAGGGACTGCAGTATAGTGGCTCAAGTAATAAATATCGAATCCATGGGTCTTTAGAGTTACTATTACTCAACTTCAGTTCATTATCTAGCAACCCAGATTAAAATGGAAGAACTAAAACTAATCTAACAAACTACAGTTAAAGTTAATCTAATTACAGGTTGGGAACTCACTTAGGTATGATCCCCCCCTAGCCAGATTAATGATTGATGATCTCTAACATGTTTCACTTTCATTCACAATGCGGAGAATCCTTGACTAGACCTTGAGTATCGACTAAAGGAACAAGGCCCTCTTGAGCCAATTGCCTAGAGGGACGTATCCTTCTCTAGAACAACCGATCAAGGCGTTCTGAACTAGACTCCCTCTATCAAAAGAGGTTCTCAATCGATACAAAGCAGTGAATTAACCCTCGACTAAAGCAATTGATCCAAAGAAGTGAACTCAAGATTATCAAGTAGGAGTACTCATACAATCATCTAATCAAACAAACATAGCTAGGGTTCCTCAAAACCTAAGTGAAGGGAAGTTACTCCATAGAGAAGAGAGAGACCGCAGTAAGAATCTTCAGATGATTAGTCTTCAAGTCCGGGCTTGTTCCTCAAGCTTCCAAAGCGAAGAAACCCTCCAATTCCACTCCAAGAATGCCCTCAAATCGCCCTCTCTCTCTCTTTGGTTCGTCCCTTGGGTGTTTGGGATCCAAAACCCAGCTCTCCCTCTCCAAAAATCGCAAAACAGCTTTTATACCCGCTGAAACTCGCACCCCCTGCTTGAACGGCTGTGCAAATTGAGGTTTTGGCCGTGCAAACCCCCTGGGAAACCCACACGGCCGTGCAGAATTTCACACGGCCGTGCACACTTTCCAGCATGCACTCCTAAGCTTCGTTGATCTCGTTTGAGCTTGTTTGACCTCCGATTCAGGTGTCGTTTGATCCCAGATGCTTGTAGTCTTGTCCTCTTTCTTTTCATGACAAGATTTCATGATTATTTTTCAATAAAATGAGATATAAATCCATTCTTCCTCAAGTCATTCCCGAGTCTCTCACCCCGAGTCGCCAATTGATCTCCTATTGAGTTGAAACTTGCGCCTAGGCTTCACTTTACATGCTAGGACCTGAAATGTGACAAAAAAACACAACCTAGCGTAAAATAGTCCAAGAAATCAAAAACTCAAGCCAAAATGATCAAGAAACGAGGGGGCAAACATGTGCAAATACGACATTATCACGAACACATACCGGAACCTTAGTGATCCCAGCCACCAAGGGGGATGAGAGTCACATGTGTCAGGGGGAGGTTTGTTGTATTCAAGGGAGTACCAAACCTTATGGACTTTCTCTATTGAGTTCCTTTTGACTATGCCCTTCTTGATTTGCTATGACATGGATGGTTCCTTCTTTCTTTTCTTGTCTTCCATCAATAATATGTTCTTTCTTTGCTTGCATCTCAACTTCTTATCATCTCTTACGATGGTTGGTATCCTTTGAGAAAATAAATGTTGCAGAAAGAAAAGCATGGGGTTATTTGGTAAAGAAAGGCGTTACCTTTCTACCCCGATCCAAGAAAAGGTAACTTTCCCGACTAATTTTTTTGGATTTATTTTACTTGACATAGTTGTGAAAATGTGATCATAGGATCTTCTAACTGAAAGAAGAAGAATCTTCCAAATCAAGAGTAGACAGAAAATCGTTGTATTAATGAAGTATAAATAGGAGGGAGCAACAAGGCAAGTCGATCTTATGGAATGTGGTAGAGCAATCCTACACAAAGCAAGATCAAACAATCTGTGATTAGCATTAGGGTTCACAAGTGATAAGCATTAGGGTTCACAATTGATAGAGGTTCGCTATTTGTATTTTTTTTTAGTGATTGTGAGGTTGTGTAGTTTCTCTCTTTAGTGTGAGTTCTTGTGAGGAAGAGAGAAAGGAATATGTTGCTCTATTATTGTCAAGGGCCCGAGTTCCACCCAATGGAGCTCAACTTGGAGTTAGTATGAACAAGATAAAAATTTAGACACTAGGTCTCAAAGGGTAAATCACCTTTGAGCCGAAACGTAAAGCAATATGTCAAACTTTATTACAAAGCATCTTGTGTACATACTCTCTCTCTCTCCCTATTCTTGTATATTGTGTGTGTGATTTCCAAAAGAATAATCTTTTGGGTGTTTTATATTATAATTTATAAATGTATGAACAATGTAACGACTTTCTCATATATCCCGGCTAAACTGGGGTAAATTGATTGGATCATTAACCATCGACCCACCTACTCGACTATGTTAACAAGCTAAGGCGGGTTAACAACCTTGGTAGTAGTGCATGATGAGGTTGGAAGAGGGCTTGGAGGCATTTTGCAGTGAGCTACTAGGTATCCTCGACAACACCACTGAGTCATTGAGAGAGATGGCTTGAGGCGAGCTTGCTAGGCGAGGGATGAGGTTGTGAAGCTCAAGGTGATAATCTCCTAAAGAGGTTCATGGCTAATTGACCTTTCATGGCACAACCCACCCCATCGGTGGACGGTGGATGTTCCGAGCATTGGCGGACCTAGAAAATTTATATAAGAGTGTCCCATTCAAAAATTAAATTAAAAATTAAACAAAAATATATTTGGCTAGTACAAATTACAACAAAAGTACACGACGTGTTACTTACTGTCTACAGTGCTCAACAAATCTCTTTGAATATATCTTACTATACAATCATTCACGAACTGATCACATATTTGATTCTGAAACTTGTTTTTTATGTGATCCAAAACTGAAATACTCTCTCAACACTTGGAGTTGTAATCGATAAAATCAATATAACTTCGAGGAGAAAATTTCAACTCAGCTAATTCATTGGTTCATTTTCATCCACAAATTGATTCATCATTTTTAACACTGAGAATAATTCTCAAAATCCTGTAGAAATCAAATAATTGGAAAAGTGACCAAAATCTCCAGGGTAAAATCATGTGTTATAATACGGTGGGAAAGAGATAGTCCGTGGGTTTAATTTAAGACTTTGGAAAAATTGAGGATAATGACAATCGTTTTTTATTACATTTATGAAAACATTACAACAACGAATTAAGTGTAGTAAAATAGAAAAGATGTTCACTAATAACTATTGTATTATAAATTCGAATCACATATACTATCATTTTTATTTTATTTTCTCATACTCAAACTACTACCGGGGGTTGATTAATTTTTCTGCCCTCCACCTAGGTCTACCCCTGGTTCCGAGACCGATGAGCTTTGATGGGTCGAGGAACACAAGCAGGATTGGCAATGGGTCGGGTCGGGGACGGATAGCGCATATCCGTTACCCTACCCAAAGTAGTTCGGATTTTATCCATACCCATACCCACATAAGAAACGGGTAGAAAATCAAAACCATGCCCATACCCGTTCGGGTTTCGGGGTATCCACGGTTATCCATGGGTAATAGTTTCTCTTTATAACTTCAACCAATATGTTAATATTCACATGTATTCTCACATTACGTAAGATAAAAAGTATGACAATAATTCACTAGAATGAAGAAAATTCATTAAAACAACACAATTTCATGAAAAAAGATTATATTTATATGCTAAATATAAAATATATTAGAGAAAAATAATGATTATTTATAGACAAAATCCATATGCATCTATATATCGGGCGAGTTCGGGTTGGATAGTGAGAAAACCATGCCCACCCATTACCCGAAATATTCGGGTTCAGGTTTTACCCGTACCCGCTAAAAGTCCTTCGGGTTCGGATTTTACCCTACCCGATAAGGTCGGATTCGGACGGATATCCACGGTTACGGATATTTTTGCCATCCTAAACACAAGGGAGTTGGAGAACTTCCTATGGAACTTATAGCAATACTTTGATTTTTTTAACGCTACGAGATGAGAATAACAAAGGTACTTACCATGTGTGGTTGTGGAGATGTCATAACAATTTCGACAGAGGTGGAGTTGAGATAATTAACTTGTAGGGAAGATAAAAACATCAATTAATTGCTAGGGTTAGCGTAGCATCAAAGATATAATTAGCAATTCCAGCGGCAGCGTACAGGTTAATAAAAAGCGCTGGGAACATTATCCATGTACACGGGAACAGCCTATGCCAGTGCATGTCGACGGAGAATAAGACAGAACCGAACCAACCTTCTTCCATCTTCTTCTTCTTCTTCTTCTTCTCGTTGTTTTCGTCGTTACAGCTAGCAACAAAAGGAAGTAACGCATCCATCCATCCATCCCCATAATAACGGCTACGCACATGGCTTGACCTACCACTTGTTCCCTCCCACCCTCAATTACCTTTACTCCATCTCCATGTCAAACCAAACCTATTCCATCAACCCAAAACTATAACACAAACTCATTCACCACGCGCTCTGTTAATCTAAGGATAGAACGGATTTTAGTTAGGTATACTCTAACATGAACTAGATGTGATTAAATGGAATAGCAATATAGCCTTTACATTTCACTACAATGCTCACAAGCCCGATATTAACATCTAATCTAGGAATGGCAATGAAGGCGTTAATATCGTCACTATTCATCAATATCATCATTGTTATCGATAAGAAAAATATGTAGGCTTGTTATCCAAGAAGTTGTTCGAAAATACTGTGATGAAAGGAATCTAGGGAGTTTGTCAGGTCCGTGATGGATATCTCGATATCCGTATCCACCTCGTGGCAAGTCGGTGCCGATTGGGTAATTTATCATGTGATGCGAATCGGCCAGGTCGGCCTATATGAATATGTAATTTTAAAGGAAAACATAATAAATATTCAATTCTCATTAAAAATCTAAATAAAAAAAAAACAAACTATAATATGATCAATGTAGTTTAATTATTCCGTAAATTATATTTATAACTTTATTATAGTTAAAATATAAGATAATAAAAGTAAAATTCTAAATCATTTGAATAAAATTATATGTCATTTAGACAAAAACGAATAAAAAATGAGGCAGCTGAAGGCATTTCAAGTTGAAGAGAGTAGGGGTGGTATTCGGTCGGTAACTGGTAAACCGGTTACCGACTTTACCGGTTTTCGGTATACCGAGTGTGGGTAAGTGGGAATCGATTACCAATACCGGTTTGTAAGTTTGTAATCGGTTTACCGGTTACCGAATTACCGGTAAACGGTTACAAACCGGTTTTACCGACTTACCGTAAAGAGTAGTTGCGGACGGTTTTTCAGTTCGGTTTACCGGAAATTTACCGAACCGAATTTCTGGGCAATGGAGTGATGTTGTAATATTTTGATTTTTATGAGTTTTTTCTTCATTTTTGTAATTAATAAATTATTATTAACTCTTATTTATAATATTTTTGAGGCCTATACTTACTTACTTTCTTTCATGTATGTAATATTTGTGATTAATGAAGCATATGTTATTAGTTAATGCCTTAACTGGTCCGGTATCGGTATTACCGAATTACCGTCGATATTTACCGATACTGGGGTCGGTAAACCGAGCTTCCTCATTTGACCCTCGACTGCCGATACCACCGATAAACGGTTTACCGTTTACCGCCGGTTACCGATTCGGTAAAACGATAAACCGTTTACCGACTTACCGTTTGTCACCCCTAAAAGAGAGTATACATACTCTCTCCACCTCACATACAATTTAAATATTATCCGTCCAAAACATATCAAACAAAATCAAATACAACGAATCATATCAAAATTGTCCTTTAACCACCAAATAAGATGGACCAATATCAATTCCATGATGAATGTATATTATCGATATTGAAGGTCCCCCAATTGCATCAAAAGAGGGGCACATATACCATCATCCACATGGCTCAAAATATATAAAAATAAAAAAGAATTCATGACTCTACCGATAATCATGCACAATTATTGATAACAAAGTCATAAACCACCATGTAACCAACCAAGCACCAATCATTTTCCTTTATTCCTTTTCTCTCTCTCTTTCCAAACAAAAATTCCATACGCTAAATGTGCGGTGTACTCCATTCCCCCAATTCCACAATTCTAGAATTTGTCCCCCATTAATTCCTATCCATCTTTATTAATTACCCTTTCGGCTCCACTATCTCATTTCAATTACGATACATAGTCAAACCACTAATCAATTACACTTTTTTTTAATCAAAAGGAAAACAATGCACATAATACATACAGAAATAATTAATTCGCCAATAATTCCATGTATAAAAAAAAATTCGTATCCTCTTTATATGTAAAAAAAATAAAAATTGAAATTAATCTGTACCCTTTGGATTTATCTTCTTCTTGTTCTTGTGTATCATCTTTTTCCGGAAGACAACCTCGGTATCAAGCCCGAAGCCGTCGACCCGCCGGACTCCGACCACCTCCGACTCCCTAAACAGCGCCACCAACGGGCCCACGCTGTACAGATCGTTGGCCGAGTACTTATCCGCCCGCTTAGAAATCGACACGTGGAGGACGCACACGCCGCCGGGCCTCAGCGTCCGCTCGATCTCCCCGACGAATTTCTCCGGGTAGAGAGCGTGGTCGAACACGTTGGAGAACTCGAAGTCGAAACTCGCGTTGGGGAACGGCTGCGCGTGGAAGTCACCCCTGACGACGAGCGGCGGGGAAGGGACGAGGTCCATCCCGATGGAGTCATTCACCCCCACGCGCCGGAGCGCCTCGACCTCCTGCCCCACGCGTGCGCCGATGGAGAGGGCGCGTGAGGAGTTGGAGAGGAGGCCGCGGCGCGTGAGTGACCGGAAGAAGGCGGCGAAGACCCGGACTTTGCGGTCCCAGTCGCGGGTCTTCCACAATTTGCGGAGTTTGGGGTTGAGGGTTTTGTTGAGCTGGAGCTGGATGTAGGCGTCGTAGGAGTGGAGCCCTTTACGGATGCGGAGGCCGCCGCCGGCGGCGGCGGCGGTGGCGGAGCTGGAGTCGAGGTAGCGGACGGTGGCGGCGGAGGTGGGGAGGGATGGGATGGGGGTTGGAGAGAGGGATCTGGAGGCGGCGAGGAAGAGGAGGAGAATTGAGAGGGAGAGGAAGAAGGAGAGGAGGAATGGTTTGAGGAGAAGAGGGAGCTTGGAGTTGGAGACGCCGCCGTTCATTGTTGTTAGCCGGTGAATTATGGGATTGGCGGCGGGGTGAGGAAGGGAGGAAGGAAGGGGAAGGGGAAGGAATTGTAGTTGGGGGAATTGGATGGTCGGTCTTATTGTGGAGTAGCGATGAGGTTTTGAAGAATATGCAGAGAGAGTGCCAGTTGTTTTTTTGGAAGGAGGAGGATGATGATGATAAGGGACAGAGGGGAGAGGGAATAATAATGAGCCGTAGGACCATCCTAGTTAGAAACAATTGTGTATTTCGGTGGCTGCCGGTAAAGTGAGCAAACCGTTTGACGACTTCCACATTGGGATTATTTATCAAGAAGAATAATAATGATTAATTACTAAGTAAGTTGTTGATGTGACTTGAATCGGATTATTAGCCGCTACGACTAGTAATTGGGGGTCTCGCTGCCCGGTCAGCGAGTGGGGTCCAGGGGCAACGCTCTGGTGAGGGTGCGGGGGCAACGCCCCGGTGTATGTGCTTAATGTTATTTGGGCTCGGGTTCTGGGCCTGGTCTGTAACAGTTTCATTTGCCATATTGGATTAGGTTTAGACCCACATGGAGAAGTACTATAAATACTTCTCATACTCCTCTGTAAGCGGTAATCTCCTCGATATAGTGAAACTGGCTCTCTCTCGCCCGTGGACGTAGCTAACACACATCGTGTTAGTGAACCACGTAAATCGTGTGTCTGTATTTTTCAATTCTCGTTTTCGTATTCTTGCTTTATCGATTCCGACGATTTCCCGATCCGTAGCAGCGCGTTTATAACATAAGTCAATATATGATAAAGTAAACAACATCGTCTATATATCTTTTTGAAACGGCTAAAAGGAGAGAATATTATGTAATCTTACAATCGCGTCATTGATTTTGAATTGAGCTTATCATTTTAGATTCATTTAGTTTCTTCATTTATGAATTTCTCTAATGTTGATCGTATTCATATTATCTAATTTCAATTGATGATAACGTAAATCGATTACATCTGCCTTTAATTAAGAGAGTTCTTTGTTCTCCAGCTGAATCCTGATTATATGAACTGAATCCAACCATCAATTACACAAACTGATTTCTTCAACCTATGTTGTGCATACATATAAAATCCACAATTTTGGCAGATAGATTGAGTAGAGTGCTACCCAGAATCATATCCCAAACACAAAACGGGTTTATCAAAGGGTGTCAAATTTCTGATAATATCCTGATCAGCCATGAAATGGTTCATCATCTCAAAACTTCAAAATCCAAGAAAAAAAAGTGGATGGCAGTGAAGTTGGATATGGAGAAAGCATACGATCGAATAGAATGGCCTTTCTTGTTCGAAATGATGATGATTCTTGGTATACATCCTAGATTCATTTCTTGGGTAAAAGAGTGTGTCACTACAGTGTCATATTTGATTCTCATTAACGGCTCCCCATCAGAGTATTTTAGACCTTCAAGAGGACTAAGACAAGGAGATCCTCTATCGTCTCTCCTTTTCGCCATCTGTGCCGAAGGATTTTCTAGTATGATAAGGAAAGCTACCTCCGCAGGATACCTTAAAGGAGTCAGAATCCGCCCTAGTTGTCCAATAATCTCCCATCTATTTTTCGCGGATGACTCATACCTATTCTTATCCGCCTCGCCGGAGTATTGTACATCTCTCATTTCCCTACTTCAGGCTTACGAGGAGCTGAGCGGTCAACGAATAAACTTAAATAAATCAGTCGTCCTTTTCAATCACGATACAGACCCTCCCCAAACTCATATTATGGGTGCTCAATTGGGTTTTGGTACCATATGAGAACATGACTCTTATTTAGGCCTACCAGCTATCTTATCTAAATCAAAAAGAGAGACATTCCAGTTCATGGAGGAGAAGCTTATTAAGAAGCTACAAGGGTGGAAATAACGATCACTTTCGAAAGCTGGGAAAGACATTCTTATTAGAACATCGGCCACTAATATACCAGTACTAGGTATGTCATGCTTCAAGCTCCCAAAGGAAAACTGTAGGCGCTTAAACAGTCATATCGCAAAATTTTGGTGGGGTACGGCACAAAATTCAGAACACCCAATCCACTGGTTGTCTTGGAAGAGCCTGGCTCACAGCAAGTTCCATGGAGGTCTTGGATTCAGGGACTTTGAAGCCTTCAATCAAGCGTTGCTAGCTAAACAATGTTGGAGAATATGAACCAATCCAAACTCATTACTCTCCCAAATATATAAGGGTCGATACTTTACCCAATGCTCGGTGTTGGAAGCATCAATTGGTTCAAACCCTTTGTGGGGGTGGAGAAGTCTACTCTTTGGAAGAGATCTACTCCTACAGGGACTAAGATGGCAAATAGGCAATGGGCAAAGAACCCGGGCATTCATTGATAAATGGGTTCCGGGAGATAAACCCTTAACCCCAAGTACTCGACCCCATATTCAAAATGGACACCTATGGTATCTTACTTCATAAAAGAAGGTCGAGGGGAATGGGACGTTCCAAAACTCGAGAATTGCTTTGAACCTCAATCTGTCGATCTCATAAGGAGAATTCCTCTTCCTCGATACTCACAGCAGGACTTTAGAGTGTGGCACTATTCCAAAGATGGAAAATACAAAGTAAAATCGGGTTATCACTTAGCTCTGGAAATAACGTTGGCATCAAGTCGAAAACCGATAGTGCATATCATCGATCCTCCAATTTGGAGAAAGACTTGGAACATCCAAGTTCCGCCTAAACTAAAGTTCTTCAAATGGCAATGCCTCAAAGTCAAACTTCCAACAGTAGTGGCCCTTCAATCTCGTGGAGTAAATTGCCTTAAACGATGTCTTGTCTGCTGGAGACATAGAGAAAGTATTGAACATTTATTCTTCAGATGCCCCCTAGCCATCAGATTGTGGACTTTAGTGGGATTGAGCAACTTTATTGAGACCGCCTAGACTGTTAACTTTAGTCTATGGTGGCGACATGTCATGGTCTCCGAGACCTCCCCATTCCACATTCTCCAATGTGTTTGTTTACTTTGGAGAATCTGGAAGTCTAGAAATGAAGTGACCTTTGAATTTACCCAACCTCATGTCCGTTCCCTAGCCAGACAGTTTTACAACCAGGTCCTCGAATTCTCCAGTCTTCTCCCCCCCCCCCCTTCCTCCCCGTAGCTCTCTTCCCCCAATCATGCCTGCCACCACTTGGGTCCCTCCTCCAGAAGGTTTTTTGAAGATCAACGTCGACGCAACTGTCAGTGCCTCCGGGTGTTCGTCCGGGCTTGTTATCCGTGGGTCAGACGGGCATGTGTTATTGGCGATCGGGTTGCAGCATCAAGGAATAGTCAACCCTTATATGGCTGAGCTGCTAGCGAACAGGGATGCTATCTCCTTTGTGGCCTCTAGATCCTTGACCCATGTGATAGTCGAAGGTGATTCCGAAGTGGTCGTCAACCAAGTTCGTCAAGGCGTCTCAGAAGACTCGATTGGTGGTCCGGTGCTTCGAGAGTGTCTTCAGATCCTTAGCTCTTTGTCTGTTTGTATAGAGTTTAGGGCGGTACCTAGATCCGCCAACAGTGATGCCTATAGAGTGGTGCGTAAAGCACTGCTTTTGTCTCTTGTAGAGCTAGAATCTTTTGATTTCTTGGGGTGGCTTCTTTAGAGTCTCTTAGGGGTCCTGGGTGGAATTGTAAGCTTAACTATTATTTCTCATTTATATCACTCAGAAATAAAAAAAATATAAAATCCACAATTAGGTCATTGCGAATTTCAAAAAATACAGGCTCAACTAAGCAGGCATCTAACTGGGAACCACAATGCTTGATAAACTGAGCACCTAGTAACAAAATGGCACATTTGTTTCTCTTGTGTAGTACAAGAATTAGGGTTGTTAATGAGCCGAGTCGAGTTTTGCCTTGTTCATGTTCGGATCGTTTGTAAATGAGCCGAGTTGAGTCGACCACGAGCCAGCTCATTTATTAAATCTTGACACATCATTAAGATCGAACGTTCGGCTCGAGCTCAACTCTAAGATAATTTATAATATAGATACCCTAATATTTATATGTCATGTGATACATGTGATTACCTAATGTTATGTCATATATGAGACGTATTTGCTTACATAGTTACATACTCTATGTATTAAACACCATATGAGGTGATATATACAATTTAATAATTATATGCATCATTAACAAACCAACTCATAAAATATAGATTGATTTTCTCATAAGCTGTAGCCGAGTTGGCTCTCTAGGCACAATGTTGGGACATCTCATTAGCTCAAAAAGAGACAGTTCATGAGTTGTATTCCACGAGCCACCTAATCGAGCTAGTTGATGAGCTTCACGATCTTTTTTTTTTAATCGAATGAGCTTTTATCTAGTTCAATACCGAGCCGCTCACGAATAGCTCAACACATTAACAGCCCTACAAAACAGGAGCTACTTTGTCATCTCTCCTTAGTACAAGAGCTTGTTTGGTTAATGTTTCCTTTACTTGACCTTGTAAGTTTTTCCTTTTATTATATATCTCTTACCTCTAAATTAGGGCTCGTTTAAAAATATTCACACACATCTTTATTTATGAATTTTGTTTTCCTCCCTACTTTATCTCTTCTTTTTTTTTATCTCACTAACTACTTTTCAATATTTTTCTGAGTCACTATGATTCTTTTAGTTAAGGGCAAACATGTCAATCGAGGAAAAAAATAAAGTTTTCATTTTTAGTGATGATTAACAATCATAGTTTCCAAGCAACTAAAAATATTTAACTAAAAAAATTTAAATATTTTTTCAATAACACAATGAGCTAAAAAAATTGAATGGATTACAATTTAGAAATTTAGACTTTAATTATTCAAAGAAGTCGGTAGCGGGGTTAAGCTCCCAATCGGTCTTTGGACATGAAATTCAATTTCCTAAAATGAGAAGGGAAAAAAATCAGGACCGAAAGGGTTACTCCATATTAAAAGCGTTGGAAATGGCAATCCCTATCAAGTTGAGTGGAGTCCTTTTCTTCGGGCACTTAATTAACATGTGCAATAAATTCAGAAAACAAAAACCAGCATGCAAATTTGAGTGGCATATGGCTCACGTTCGCAATTTTGTTCCTTAGCCATCTGACAAATGAACATTATGGGTAACTCACCCAAAGTGAAACTAATCCAAGCAAAAATCATTTGTTGCCCTTTGCTTTGGTGGTTGATAAATGGTAATTTATTTTGACTTCACGATTTTACTATTTAAGGAAGCCCCATGCCTAGGGTGTTCAAACGAGATTGGTTACCGTGGTAACCATATTAACCGGTAGCATTCGGTTAATTTAGATAATTGGTCTGATTTGGTTAAACAATTTAGCTTATTTGGTTTAGGTGGTTTGGTCTGGTGTTCAATACTGCTAACCAATAAAACCAATTAACCAATTAATGATACACCTAATATACAAAATTATTTATACTTCCATGTAACCAATCAAACCAAAGTTTGGTGATTTCCTATTTTATTTCCATGTGCACAACAAACCAAAGCGTTATGGGTCAATAATTAAATGGGCATGTCTATTTACTAAACCAAAACATTTTGGACAATTACTAGACTTTAGGATTACGTACAAGACCATGACAGTCACCTCAAACTATGTATAGTTTAAGTGTTTTGTAGGAGAGCTTTAACTTGCTGATGAGTGTTATTGGTATGTATTTAATATTTATGTTAAGAGTTTGTTGTAAACTAACTATATTAGGTGCAGAGATGATGAATGATGTATTAACTCGAATGATGATGATAATCATGGATGGTTCGTCACTTAGTCTTATTATTATTGCTTATATATAATGATAGTTTATGATAATAACATATGATTATGTTTTATTTATTAATAGGATAATTATTTTCATGTGATGTTATGTTATTTGGTTAATCCCATTATCCTATTAACCAAACCAGTTAAACTTTGGTTTGGTTAATTTGGTTTACGTGTTAATTTAGACAGTTTAATTTAGACATTTTATTTCATGGTTAATGAAATTTAAACTTAATTGATTTGGTTATTAGTACGGTAACCATTTCAACATCCTACCTGCACATTCGGAATGTGACATTCCCCATCCTTTACCCACCACCACCAGCTCACCACACAGCCTTCTTTAAAAATAGTAATAAATGTAAAGAGGGCGCAAGCTGGAACCCGGAAGGAAACGTGAATAGGCAAAAGGTTAAAAAGGAACCCCGCAACACAAGAAGAAGATGAAGAAAAAATGGATATGTCAAATTGTCAACTGATCAACATAATAACAGCAACGACGCGATCTCTATTCCCTAATAATATTTACATGGCTGCAAGTAAAACAAGACGATGAGTGCAATTGCAGGATATGTATTCTACAAACTGCATTTGTAATCTCTCGACGATATCATCGCACAACCCCCTAACTCAGAAAGCGATACATACATTACAAACCTCAAGCTTGTTTCGAGGGGTGAAGGTGGCAGGACGACAACCCCGCAAGGATTTTGGGCATGCCGCTCGCCTTAATGAAGTTGGATTTGGCTGCATCCAGCAACGGGTCTGCCTGAAGAGCTTTGTCGAAGCAGAACTTGGCCTCCTCCCACCTGCCTTGAGCGACAAACACGAGGCCGAGATTGTTGAACGCGGGAGCATACCCTGGCTGAAGATCGAGAGCCTTGGCGAACATTGCCTTGGCACGTTCGAACTGCTTTTGCTGCCGGTAGAGATTCCCTAGGTTGGAGAATATAGCGTGTGCATCCTCCGGTTTTGCCAGCGACAGAGCTCGCTTGTAGATGTCCTCGGCTTCTGACAAGTGTGAGCCAGACAGTTGGAGGGAGATGCCGAGATTTGACCATGCATAGCTGTGTTCTCTGAGACGAGCGACGGCGACTTTCAGATACTTTTGTGCCGTTTCAAACTCGCGTGAGCATAGACAGTGTAGCCCGAGCTGGTGCCAGTGGGTGCCATCTTCTGGATCCTCCCCTATTGCCTAATTTCACAATAGATTATACCAAAAGTGAACAGATGTCAAGAAGAATGAAAGAACACAAAAATATGAATGACGAAGTATGCTTTAGACAGTTGATCCTATGGTTCTTGAAGCACATCATATAACCTAATTGTACTCTGATGTTTCATTCAGGCTTGCTGATTTGCAACTCTTTCATATCCGGAGATGTTGAAATGAACAACACACTCACAATGTTCCAGTTCCCACTTACTAGACAGCAGTAGAATATGTTTAGCTGGAAAGGAACGGAGCACACTTTTCCAATTCTTGGGTTCTAAGTTCTAACTACCACGTCCTGCAGCAGCCTTGCTTCATGTAGATGAAATCTTTATATCTAAAATAACGTACTTACATTAGAGATACTACTTCCACTCACCTCACGGGCACTAAATAAATAACATCTTGCCTGGCCTCTTTTGTTCATACGTGGTACAAAACCAAGTTAAAATAAGAGATCACAATGCTGATGGTCGAGAGAATATAGGTTTAAATGTTTAATGCAAAATGACAAGACATTAAAGCATGAAAATATTGCAACATTGAGTCGGTTATCCCACAGCACCAAATATCATGAAAAGTGTAGATCGATCGAATTATTGAATTACCTGTTTTAAGCTGTAGAAAGCACGCTCTTCCACTTCCACCAACTCATGCTGCTCGGTCTGAAATGATGATGTAATCTCATGTTGGGCTTTATGAACCATAGCAAGTCCTGCCCAAGCAATTGGCAGCTCAATTGAAACTGAATCCCCTTCTCTCAGCACCGAAGCCATTTCATTTCCAGCCCAAGAGAGTTGTTCACTAGGATCTTGAGACCTTTCTGCATCCTTGACTCGGTGGACCGCCGCAGCATATCGAGTGGACATACAATTAGGGTCAAGTTTTGCTGCCTAAATGACATTCAACAGGCAGAAACAAGAGTAGGTGATCATTTTATTGGCACAGAAAAATGAATCACAACTATCTGTTCAGTTCCTCAAAGAATTAATTATGAACAAAAAGTCCGTTTTTTTCCTTGATGACAAAACATAAGTTGTCCAAGATCGAAGAGACCAATGAACAACCTCAACAAGGAAGCAATAAATACTGGGGGCAATAAGCCATGAGCACCTTCTCCAAGCACTTGCTAGAGCTCTTGTGGTCACCAGTCATGTAATAGGCATTAGCAAGATTAGCCCATACATGAGCAGCCTTAGGATCCAGTTTCAATGAAGCCAACAAACATTCTTTCGCAACATTAGCAGCTTCAAACTGATCAACAGAAGCTCCTTCACCAGCACGTGATCCAGCACCTGATGTCAGCAGTAGCACTTTTAAGCCTCTTTAACCCCATATTTCAGAAAATGAAACATACAGGGCCTGACTACTTCCTCCAGTCCAGCTAAAACTGAAAAGTTGACAAAGACAGTTGCAGCCAATATTCGTCAAAGATGGTACCTGCTACAACTGACCCATATTTACATAGCAGAATGGCCGCATAGTTGATGAAAGCAGCAGGATGATTTTGATCTTTGAGAATCAAATCTTGAAAGCATTTAGCAGACAACTCCAAGTCTCCACTGCAAGATGACAAAATCAGAAACTGATAAGCCTGTGCCAAGTATGAATCAAGTCTAGCTACTAGATACATAAATAAAATAGAAGAAACGGTGATAAAGTGCCAAGACTGAATCAAGAATAAAAAGATAGTTTAAGGAAAATGGAAGTTTGAAATCAATTTATTAAATCCAAGTTTTCATTTGTACCCAAGTGACTGCATCTCACAAGCTTCTGTATTTCGCATTGCTGTTTGCCTATAATTTTAACTTATAGAATGATAGTTTTGACAATGATCCAAGAAGAAAAAAAAACTCCAACTCCTTTACCTTTGTAGGCAAGCAATCCCCAAATTTGCAAGGCAGTCAATATTGTTAGGGTCAGCAGCCAACAAAGCTGAGAAAACTGAAACTGCATTCTGCCACAAAGACATAGACCAAGTCATGCCAAGCGAAATGATGACCAGAGCCATACTAAAAAACACAAGTTAATGGAAACGCATATCTAACCTGAAGACGACCAGATTTAAGAAGTATCAAACCCAGTGTGTTCCAAACAGCCGCTTGTCTGATATCTTTATGCATTGATTCATTTAGTTTGGAAAGAACTTCACCGATTTCATCAGCACCAAGTTCTTTATCCATACTATTGTCAGCAGAATTCTCAAGGAGAATGCACTGTGCATGGTGAACTTGAACCAACGTAAGCAACTCAAGTCTGGCAACCTCAACCTCGCACCGCAGCAAAATCTCTTCTGCCTTCTCATAAGCTGAAACTGCCTAAAACATATTTGCACTATCCCAATTAGACAAAATTGCATGAATTTCAGAGTCTCAATGAAATCTTGTTTCAAAAACATACCTTCTGCGGCAGACCAAGCCTTTGGTACATTAGACCAAGTATGAAGTGAGCATGAGCATTTTTCGGCATCTTCCTTGCAACATGGACCAAACCCTACCAGGCCATGGACATTACACCGAACGAGAAGCGGTATCAAACACCAGAAGAATATCAGAAGAAAACTGGCTTAGAGGAGCTAAGTGAACCAACCGTTTTCAGGCTGCTGACTTTTTCTTCACGAGAGGAGACTGAGCTTTGACCATGTTGATCCGCATCTGCATCAGCTCCATACTCAAACGCCCCTTCTGCCTTGCCACTTCTCGACCGGCACTTCACTTGCTTGTTCAATTTTTTAGCTTCACCTTCTATGCCATCCATTTCTTTGCTCGTTAAGCTTCCTTTCTCCTGACTATCGTCATTGACCAATCTAAATGAAACATAATTCTCATATAAGCTCAGTTCTCATTCCATTATAATCATGGATTGGACAATTGACAACAGAAGTGACCAAAAGCCAAGCGGTCGCATAATTAGAAGACGCTACAGCAGTTATAGGCGATCAAACGAAGTAAAACCTGGTGATATCTAGGGCAGCGACTTGGTCGGAATCGCAGGCGTCGGCCTCGGGAGGACAGGCGTTGAGGTCAGCCAGAACAACGACCTTGGAATGCGTTGTCGTCTTGGAGCTTCCTTCCATGGAGTCGAACTCTGGCTTCACGAGCATGGCTTGAAGTCTGGGGGTCTCCGGAATTTCTTCCATGTCGTCTTCGGGATTCTTTCTACAGAGAAAAAATGACGACTCCGGGGAAGAATCTATCACCTAACTTCTGACTTGGAACTTCTGCCATTCGGCCCCTCCGCTAGCCGGCGCGGCGGAGCGATAGTTTTTTTTTAGGGTTGCTAACAAATGGATAATTAACATTTCAATTTTAACAATCGATCACTTATATTCTTAATAACGAACAAATTGGTAGTTCTGTTAATCTCCGTCCATATAATACACATCATTGTCAAAAAAGAGTTTATTTTTTTCCAAAAAAGTTTTAGATATTTTATATTTTTCAAAAATATTAAAATATTATTTTTGTAATTAATTAGTCAAATTTTTCGTAATACATCAAAATATTAATTATTTTCCAAGTCAGTATCATGTTGTCAAATCAATATTACTAACAAAATTGCTAACTGAAAATTAATATTTGACTAATTCTTAATATTTTAATAGGTTTTATTAATAAAAAATATCTTCCAATTAATATTTGACTAATTCTTAATATTTGGATAAATTTTAATAATAAAAAATTCGAATTTTTTTTTACTAATAAATCATCATTAAAAGATAAATACCATTATCATTGTCACCAAAATTTGTACCGACTACTGAAGAATGTTGCATGACCATTACCAAAAAAAAAAAAAAGAATGTTGCATGACCAACCTGAAAAAGCCCAAACGAGCAAGCCCAAAATCCCAAAAACCAACTCCCAGCCAATCCGGGCCTAACCCAATACTCTCTCTCGGGCTTCTCTTTCTCTTCCCACTCCTCAGCAATCCGTTTTTTTTTATAGTAATCTGTATTCCGCTTTTATTCAATAGTGGGATAAAGTACATCATCACGAACAAGCTGATTTAACAGATTCAACGAATATCTAGGGTTGCAAATGAGTCGAGCTGAGCCGAGTTTTATTCCAGTTTGAGCTTGACTCGTTAATAAATAAGCTGAGCTCGAGCCCGAGCCATTTATTAATGAGCCGAGTCGAGTCGAGCTCGAGCTAGACTTATTTACTAAATTCTTAGATCGTATTTAATACATTCATTTTGTATGTCGAGTATGGTACATGTAATCGATGTAGCGATAAAAAATAATCAAATGTTCAACACTAATTAATCTTATATTATAATTTTTAGGTGTCATATTGTTTAGTTAATAAATTTTAACTAGTTCAAATCATGTTATTTCATAGTATCAAAACAATTTTGTACATAATTTCTTATAGAAATAAAAATAAGGCATATTTTCTTACATGTTCAACATGTTAAACTTCACATGATGTGATATATATATATAATTTAACAATCCTATGAATTATGAAAGTTCAAATTAGATCGATTAGTCCATAAATCAGTGATCAAGTTGGCCCTCAAACCACAATGTTGAGACATCTCATGAGCTCTAAATGAGCCAACTCACGAGTTGAGCTCAACAAGCCACCGAGTCGAGCTAGCTCGCGAGCTTCACGAGCTGAACATAGCTAGGCTCAAACTTGGCTCGTCAGTAAACAAATCGAGTTTCGAACAAGTTTTTTCCGATTTGAGCCTCGAGTTGCTCGCGAGTAGCTTGGCTCATTTGCAGCATTAGGCCTATCAAACCTACGTCCACACAATCCCAATTAGTTCTCTTCCTACTCCTCAGCAATCCGTTCACTTTCTGCCTTTCATCAAATACACATTTCCCTTACCAAAGGCTTTTCAGCTACATCTACTAATCTGCAACCGGTGTTCCAGTATCTCCACAACATTTAACTCGCCGAAAACAGACATCCATACCTGGTTGAAGAACAGCAATCCGCGAATATACAAGCATAATATGAAGGACAGAGGGAACAATAGTTCTTGACAATCAAAGGGGAAAGATCGTATTGCTATAATCCAGACAGCACAACAGCTCATTCCTAGAGTTAAAAGCCTACTTGGTAAAGACGAGAACCAACTTTGTACATTGGCTTCGATCGCAACACAATTTCCTCGTCTGACCCTTCCTGAAACACCAACAAAACCCAGGAGCAAAGATAAAGAGAGGGAAGGAAACCGTAAGGAGAACAATCGTCTCAAAGGAATCTAACGCAGCTCTCATACTCCGTCTATCGATTCCCCTTTGAAGCTTCATCTAGTGGACCATGTAAACCCAGCGTGCTTCCCAAGTAAAGGCCATCTAGGTCTAGAAGGATGCCTGAAGCCAACCCTTCTTCTGGGCATACTCGACGTAGAAAGCGTACTTCTCCTCAGCATTTGGTATGTCAAGAGCAAGATCGTCGAGTCCTTCCTTGATGCGGGTAAAGCCTTTCGTCATCTGGTTAATGGTGATCAGCCCTTCGTTGAAACACTCCTGGAGCAGATCCAGCATCTTGTCGTTCTTCTTCTCCATGGCCATGATCAGCGCCTTCTTCACCACCTCGTGGTTGAAGAATGGCATTCCCAAGTCGCGGATGCACTGGCAGGCTTCACCTACTCCCCCACTGCTCTCATACTCCTCCAACAACTTCATGATCTTGTCCTTCGCATCTTCCACGGCCCACCCTGTCCCGCCTCCCCAGCACCTCAGGAGCCTCTCGCCAGCGTGGCGGGCAGTAATGAGAGAACGAGCCATTTTTACAGTCTCGGTCCCACTGCAGTTTGGTGGCAGCTGGCCTCCTATCTCCTCTAGATTCAAAGGTGCCAGCACATCGTCTATCACAGCCCTAGCTAGAAACAAGGCCAGCTCATTCGAAGCATCCAGGATATCAAGAGCTGTATCTTCTGCAGATTCCAATAGCATCACAAAGCCATCAACTATATCTTCTGTCGAGAAGATCTCTATGTGAAGAGCCGAGAGCAAAACAGATGCCATCTCTTTCTCCCTGTTTTTCCTGTCCATGGCAAGGGTTATAAGCCGCTTTAAGAATATCGGGTTGTACTCTGGCAAACCGAGATCTACCAAACTCCTTATCAGTTCAGGGATATCATCGGAGTTGAAGTACTCATGGATAACCGTGACAACCTCCTCTTTGTAGCGCTTCAACTTTGCATCCTCGGCTCGTGGTTGCCCATCTTCACCTGAAGTGTTTGAGAAGGAAGCATCCAGCCATCCTTCCGATATGGCTTTAGAAAGGATGGAGTGGAAAAGGGGTCTAGCAGATGGAATGTCAAGTGCAAGGTCATCGAGGCTCTCTGCCAATCGAGCAAAGCCTTTGGTCATTTGACTAGGACTTATGAGACCTTCCTCCGAAGCTTCCTTCAGGAGCTTGGATATGAGTGGTTCAGCAGTTTGCATCTCCATTGCAAGAACTAAAGCTCTCTTCACAACCTCATGGTGGAAGAATGTAACCCCTAGTTCTCGAATGGATCTACAAGCCTCAACAGCATATCCACTCTCAACATACTCCCTCAACAGATTGGCAATCTTCTTCTTCACCTCTTCAACAGTGGTGCGAGTGCTACCACCCCATCTCCTCTCCACAAGCTCAGCATGGTGAGGAGCTGAAAGGTAGGACTTTTCAGCTGTCAGTAGAACCTGAAATCCCTTTGATGCTTCAGGAATAGTTTTCTTTGCTCGGGGGAGAAATGCAGGTGGGAGTATCTCATCAACCACTGCACGTGCTACAAATAAAGCAAGGACATCTACTGCATCCAATATATCTACAGCAAGGTCATCAGTAGATTCGAGAAGTATGACAAAACCATCCCGGATTTGTGCAGGAGTAATGACATCAGCATATAGTGAGGACAGTAAAACAGAAGCCATTTCCTTCTCCTTGTCATGCCTGTCCATGGCCATGGAGATGAGTCTCTTGATAAAGTATGGATGATATTGACTGGCTCCAAGTTCTCTGAGGTCTGATGCTGCAACTTCAACATCCCCAGTACTGAAGTACTCTTCTACTATGGAAGCAACAGCTTTCTTGTAGTCATCCAAGGGATCAGATAGGGTAGCCTCAACGAGCTTATAGGGTTCCTGGTAAAAAAGAAGAGCATCAGGAAAAATACATCCCAGAATTACTTAAAAAAATCATGAATAGATCAAAGTATGAGTTACCTCTCCACTGTCATAATTAGGATCATTGCGATCAATATGGATGTCACCCTCTGTATCAAGAAGCTTCCCCCATGTCCCCTTCCCACCAGCACCATCTGTTCCCATCACTCAATAGTAGAAATAGTTAAGTGCAATCCTACATAACTATCAAGTTTTAACACAAGTGCACAGAACTGACCAAAATCTGAAAGAAAATTGCACCAAGCTAAGTACTAGAAAAAGCAAAAAATGAGCAATCACCACCAATATACACCACAAAAGAAAGGATCACAAATACATAGAAAATTTTCAGCGTCACTCATTCATAAGAACAAACTTAACCAGATACGAAAGTCAAGAGAAACTCAACTAGAAACAAAAAATAAACAATCAAATGAATCTTCTCAGACCACACCAGAAATACTGAAAATACGAAGTAACTCCATCTCCAGAACCCTACTATTAAGTGATAACAGTACTACCATAATAGGTAACAAATTCGGAATCCAGCAGCTTTCTTAGTATCCATGTAAATAACAAAATCACAATGGCTAAATCATAGGGATGAAGACTCACCCTTCTTTGCTCTCCCGTACTTGCCAGAGTGTGATCGCTTTACATGCCTGCCACCAGCACCACCTGTGGATGCTTTGCCAGCACCAGGAACTCTCACAAAGTGTTCAGGACGCAACCCTGAAGGGGATTTAGGTGACGACGACAAGCTTATAGGTGGTGAAGTCAGTTTGTCTGCGTTCTGACAGGCAAGTTTCAACACTTCTCTCTGCTCATCAGTTAGAAATCCCTCATTTGACGCCATCTACACAATGAATCCTGTACAATACCTTCTGCAATTGAAAACAAAACAAAAAACAGAGAGCAATTAAATGCTAGCATCACAAATACGCTTAACGATGCATCCACCATTTCCAAAAGTTAAAAGTTCTTGTTCCAGAACCATCAGCCGATGAGAAACTAAAAATGAACAACCGTGACTCTCAAGTTTCAATAATCGGAACTGCAACGCGGATATCGCAATATCTGAATCTCAAACTTACCTACGCAACAACACTCATCTACTAAAACAGACTTCAGCTATCGCATTTTTCCCTCTCGTATTGCAAGCAACAATACAGATAACCTCCGCAAGATAACCACACAAAAAACAGTAGCAGATTAACAAAGAGAGAAACGAGAGATACAAACTAATACCTCTGCTGCAGTCAGCTTCCCGAGTCTGGAGAGAAGGAAGTGAATCTGAAAACGGTGAAGCGGTTCTTCTGTGCTTGGCCCGGGATCTCGAGCCAAGCCAGGAAGAAACAATCGGGATCTCCTTCGAACCGAGACAGAACTTCCGATCAGAGCGCGTAAAAAAACAAAGGAACGGCCGATTCAAATCTGGAGGAAAAAACCCTAGACCAACGGGAGGGTCTCTCCGGATCCCCCAGCCTTTTCCGGGAAATGCTTGCCGGAAGAAGGAGACAGGGAGCGAGAGATCAGGGAGGCGAGTGTCCGGGTTAGCAAGTATCGGTCCCAATCCGTTCGATAGCGATTCAAGAAGAGGGAAATGGACAGTGAAGAAGGAGAGAGATAATGGATGAGAACGAAAAAACGAAGAGAGGGAAAGATGGTGGTATTTATATGGAGGCCGCGGTTACAAGGTACACGTCATCGAGAGGTTTTTGGGAGACGTTATCTGCCTAGGTGTCCACGTGGCATTGGCTCTCTTTTCTTTCTTTTTTTTGCCCTTCTCGGCGAGTCTTGGCTTTACACTCGGCGGGCGCCCCCAGAGTTAGGGTTTCTAGCTTTCCGTGAACGGAATTGACTCAGAATTACACTCATATATCCCCCAATGCAACTTGTGTTACATGGGCGTTGGGACTAGGGGTGGGCATCGGTCGATTCGGTCCAAGACCGAACCAAACTATCCTCGGATTCGATCAATTTCTTTTAAATCAAGGACCAAAGTCGAATCGTTATTACTTCAATTCGATGTGGATTAAACCATATATGGCTCGATTCGGTATGGACCATTCCATTAAACCAACTAATCTTTCATTCGAATAAAATTACTCTAAAAGGACAACACTAGAATTACAAAAATGTAACTACACAAAAGAAAAGTAATCAAATTATCCAAATTTATATACTCCACTATTCTTATAAAACCACATGTTCCAAAATAGTATGCAAAAAGCTAAACGTGAACTACTGTTTAAACTACAAGACAAAAGTCTTTTATTCAATCTTAAAGGTAATCTAACTACTTGCCTCTCTAATCTTCCATTTTCATTTCCAGTGCACGTTGGACCGTCCAATCTCCAGAATTTTTACTTGTCTATTAGAAAGCCTTTCTTATGGAATATAAGCACACGATACAAGGCATTAGAAAGGAGTTTAACAAAGTGGCACTTACTCCAACATCTAGTGCAAGTAAGCAGCTTTTTTGATCGAAGCAATGCCGATGAGAACCCTGATTTGAGGGTAATACTATAAGAGCAGGAGCAGTGAGTCTAAGGCAGGGAAAGAATCATATTTATAGGTAGTTAAATGTTGTGTAGGGTACTAGGGTTTTCACTTTTCAACTCCAAGTCGACTTGCCTTCTTAGAGCATAAAATAATAGGCAATTCATTTAATTACGATTTGATCCGATTCTTAGCTTGATTTTATGATTTCGGTCTGGACCAAACCAAAATCGAAAATTAACCAAATTCAGGAACAAAATTCAATCAAAATATAAACAGTTCGATCTGATTCGGCGTGAGAGTCGATTCGGTCCGATTTGAACCGAATCGTTGCCCACCCCTAGCTTCGACAGCACGACATGGGCACGCTCCAGGCCCATTTTTTTTCGTGTTGTGCTTGGCACAGCCTGTCAGTTTTCGTGTCGTGTCTTGCAAGCCCATTTGAGAACTTTGCTAGGCTTGTCCCAGGACCGGGCACGATTCGAATCGTGTCGTGCCTATTCGTGCTCATGTTGTGCCTGTATTCCTATTTAATGAAAAGGAAGAAAATAAAAGAGAAAATGAAAAGGAAGGAGAAAATTGGGCGAAAAAAGATAATATTAACCGAAAATGTTTTAGAATTGGAAGTATAGTCGTGTGATTTGGCATTGTTTAATTCTTTGTCCGTTTTTACTTATGGTAGCAATTACGTATATATATTTATGACACTTGTATTTTGTAATATGTAAACCTATAGTTTTTTATATTTATTTTTTATAAAATAAATATTATTTTGATCAAATAAATATTATTTTCGTGCCATGTCCGTTCTTATACTCAATAAAGTCTCGAAAATATTAGGCCCGACACGGCCCACTTATATATTGTGTCGTGCCCGTGCTCGTGAAGTTTAGGCCCGACACAGCCCACTTATATATCGTGCTCGTGCCCGTGCTCGTGTCCGTGCTCATGAAGTTTAGCCCCTGCACGGCCCATAAATTATTCGTGCTCGTGCCGGGCTGACCCATATATTTCGTGCCCGTGCTCGTGCCGTGCTCCAACCGTGCCGTGCTAGCCCGTGGGCGGTCCGGCCGGGTTCCCACGTACAAGCTTGCTTGACCGGAAAATGGAAAAGAAAATAAACGACTTGAGAGCTTTTATTTTATGTGGGATTGGGGTATTTTTTTAAAATGGGTGCAATGCATCCTAGACTTCATTCAAAATCAAGAGAGCATTGAAGAGCTCATGAATGTCATACCATAAAAATCAATAGGCGCGAAAATTGAAATATCATAAAATCCGAAGATAAAACATGTCCACGATTTGCTAAAAAGTCAACACACTTTTCGCCTTCTTGTTATATGAACTATCAAAACATCATAATCTCATGGAAGCATCGAATCACTGTTACGTGTTGATGATACTCACCATCGCAACTAAAGAGTTGAACTACTCACTTGGAGCCCAAATGAACTTATATGTACTTATAGCCAACATCCCAAGCCAACTAAAGCCCCTTTATTGCATCTCTCGATTCTGCTCAGGTGATGGAACAAATCCTGAGGTTTAAAGCTACTGCCACCAAACAACGTCATGTGTGATCCCGAATTAGGCCACCAGTAGAAGCATGACATGATTCAAGATGGATGGAGTCGTCATAATTAAGAGTTACCCACTAAGGAGGCACCGACTGCTAAGATATCTGCGCCTCTTTCTAATGGATATATTAGGAACGTGGACTAGCCAAGTTTGTCAAAATGGATTAATCCATCAAGCCAGATTTACAAGTGGTTTGAGGTTTAATGGTAGGATGGGGTTTAATAAGTTCAAGTCAGTTATAACATAATATGAGCAAAAACTCTAATACCAAATAGATTTTGTATATATTTGACATATTTTTAAATGATCTCGCTAATCTACATTCATGAGAAATATATATTACAAAATCATCAGACTTCATTTGTAAACCGGATTTTGTCCGTTCAGACCACCGGCTTAATTGGTTTGACCCAATTTTGAATTTTTTTTAGAACTGTCCAATCAAAGTGTGTTCCAACCATTTAGATGGCTGATTCCGGTCAGACCTAGTTGAACCGATCGAATGGATACATGTTTGACATCCTTGGGATGAGGCTATCCATGTCATGACACTTTTCACACGTGTACATGTTGTAGAAAATCTTCATTTGAAACAATATTACCCTCAAAGACTCAATCATTTCTGCTCGCATTAGGGACCAATAACTAATGTATAACTTTAGGCTTGTGTTACGTTGTCAGAGATGTTACAAAACTAATCTCGTAAATGTGATTTGAAAAAGCTATGGTATTTAGAAGACTAAATGAGTTGCAAACAAATTAACCTAGAAAAATGGTGACTCAAGCAGACCCCCTCCACCCCTAGATGATCCACCAGTCTTTCATAATTTTTGCCTCGTTAAAATCTGCTGCAATGGCGTATACTGAATTGAATTAGAATCGGTCATCTTGTTATTGACCTCATGTTGGCAAGTCCTCACTAGAATTTGTCTTCTGGGGGCTCGACACTTAGAACCTAGAAACTATTATTCAGTGAGATGTTCTTAGAGAGCATGAGCGTTCCACTCACTATTGATAGTTACAAACGGTGGTACAGGAGTTGATGGATCAACTGGTGGTTCATCCTCTACTCGTGATCTAAAGGAAATCCCCACTATCAACCCATTGGTCTGCACAAGTTATTCGTGCGCGATCCTTGATATTCAATCTCATGTTGGTGGTCGTAATAAGCCAGACCTAACGACTTTCCTTCCAAATCATTGGTGCATTTCGACATACCTTAATCTCATTTAGCTTATCTTTTGCTACTATTTTCTTTTTTGTTAATCCAGATAAACCCTCTGCACATAGTAGAAAGAGATAAGATGATAGGGGGTCACCTTGTCACAATCCATGTGTTGGTATTATTGTTTCCGGTGGATGTCCATTTACTAGGATTGAGTACGAAACTGTGGTAACACATTGCATTACTAGTTTTACCCATTATGCACAAAACCCCAATTTAATCATCATTACCTCCAAATAACCCCACTCGACCCGATCATAACCCTTAAAAAAACTAAGATTTGTTGCAACGTAACCCTCATGCCCCTCTTTAATGTTTTTCACTGCATAAAACACACTCGAAAGCCATCAATATATTGTTGTTGATCCCCCGTACAAATGCACTTTGTACCTCAGTAATGATTGGATTGAGCGACTTTTTAAGCCTATTAGCGATGACCTTTGATAGTATCTTATATATGACATTGCATTGGCTTGCATGGGACTTTCAGGTTCTTTCTTCTTGGGAATTAATGCAATAAGCGTATGATTCATGTTTTGAGGCATATCTCCTCATTCTAATATGTTGTGTAATGCTCTGGTTATTGCAGGACCCAATGCATTCCGGTTTCCTTGAAAGAATAGTGATGGAAGTCCATCCGTCCCAAGTGTTTTGGTAGGTGTCATGTATTTCAATGATGTCCAGATTTCTTCATTTGTTATAGGTGCCATTAATTGCTCATTCATTTCTCTTGTCACTTTAGGCTTCAGTGCCTATGGAACATGGTTTGTATATTCTTGTTGTCCCACGGTATAGAGACTCCTAAGATATTGAACTAGACATGTTATATCTTCTGTTTGTCCCCTTCCCAGCTGACCATCATCGTTTTGAAGTTCAAGAATCATGTTTCTACTTCTTCTATTTGAGGCTTTCCTATGGAAGAATTTGGTGTTTCTATCCCCTTCATCCAACCAATTTGTTCTAGTTTGTTGTTTCCACATAATCTATCCATGTAGTAAAAGTTCATTGAGCTCCTCCTCGTCATTTTAGGATTACCGTTGTGTTCTTTCTCATTTTTTTATACTCTATAAAGTGGCTTATGTTTTCCTCCTTTTCCTTACATCTCAACGTTTCCTTACTCTTACTTAGGAGGCCCGACTCATATTTTTTTTTAATTCTTGATTCTATCTCATTATTGTGCTTGTATTCCATGCTTGTGCAATGACCTTACTACAATTATCATTGCACTGCTAAAACTCTTCAACTTTAAAGTGTTATCCCCATCTCATTCCTACCTTCTGCATCTTAAGGTGCATTAGTAGCGATTCATTCACATCTTTCGACACTCTTATTCTCATGAACGTTCTCCACACTCTTGAATTCAGCTCGTCAAACCTAATAAATGTTCCAAATCTCGCATCCACATTCTCTGCCATCTCTTGGTGTTTGTAAGATGTAGTAATTTCCATCACCCTCATCCATATTTCCATCCAAGAGAGATCTTCTACTCTTGGGCGATTATTCAAGTTAGCCTCTCGAAATATCAATAGATCCCCCTCACAGTTCAATGGTCCTCCAAACTTTACCTTGCTTCTATCATCTAGTTCCCTGAATTGGAACACATATGTTTAAACCTAGAATGTTCCACGCGGGAAGTGATGCGAGTGAGGTCGATGTCGATGTTTGTGGTTGGGATGCGCTCTCCTGGATCCTACAAGAAAGGTTGCTTGAGACACCCTCCAAAGCCTAAGTTAGAGAGAGAATATGAAGAGTGACATTTAGTAAGAAATGAAGTAGTTGGTTACTGTCAATGTTATCTGGGGGGTATTTATACCCAGTCAGGTGAAGATCATGACATTAAATGCAGTGTCAGGCGGTCTGGGAATGTCACATCTCATAGGGAATGCCTTTGTGGGCATTTAATGCTATTTCAGGCTAACCTCGAGGTGCATATCTTCGAGGATTCTCGTACTTTGATGATGACTTTACAATTGTTTGATCTTTGTGTCAGGAGGTCTATGACTTGTCTCATATGTAGGTGGAGCGTATCCGACCGCAGTAGATGCAAAGTCAGAGTATCTCGAGATCGTCCAAAGGCAATTCTCTTGAATCCTCATGGGCCTGCCTAGCTCATGTGCTTCTCACTATCATGGGCCTTTAAGCTTATGCGGCTCAACACATGGCGCAACAACATATAACTTCTCTCCAATGTTCGTTATTTGTCTCAAGCTCCAAGCCTTTGTTAACGCCATTTGCATTGATCGCATATTAGGGTTGCTCGTGGACCCTAGTCGTCCAACTAACCCTAGCTCTTGTACTGCTTCATCCAATCCCATAATCTTATAAGTTTCCGCTATAACAACTCATCGTCTTCTTCTTCTATTTATAAATCTGCATATGAAGTTATATTTCTTCTGCAGATGAATTTCTATTTCAAACCCTCCTTCAATATCTGCCATGATATGTGCTCACAAGGATAGCAGCACACCCTATCTCACTTGTCGGACGCAGAAGGCAGACAAACAACACAATACGAGACCCTTCAGATGTGTATCCAGAGTTAACACTGAAACCCTAATTGTCGCTCGAACTCTCTTGAAGTTTGAGAGAGAGAAAAATCTACCAACTCACCTACTCCTAAAGAATTCAAAATGAAACAAAACCAGCCCTTAAACCTCGTTGACACTTATCATTTCAACAATCTACCAAAAATCGAACCATCTAATCTTATCCCAATTAGTCAAGGTGCGCATGAATTTTAGCTAGAATAAGACTACTAGTCGATAAGTCATTATCCATCTCTTCTCACCTTTCTCTATTTTTAACCATCTCCACTTTAAACTGCTCGCTACGCTAAGACTCACCGGTCACCGCCGCCGTGCGCTCTCGTACTTCCAGGTGTCCTCGTCCACCGTTCACAATCCAATTATTTCTCACCGCATCTTGCTGAACTCCTTTTCTTCTTCTTTTCGCCTTCGCCTTCGCCGCCTCTTCAATTGCTACTTGCTACCTGTATTTGCAAATGACCGCGGCTGCATAACCGTGTGCATTCACGCCTCCGCCGAGCATCTCTACTCTCCGACCAAAATCAAGTTCCACCGCTTGCACAGTTGCACAAGGTACGCATGTTCGCTGATAGAATTCGCTTTCGGGTACGAAAATTCACTTTCCGACGGTCTCTCATATTCCAATGACGGAAAGGGCCCGGGCAGCTGCCGTCGCCGCTTCACAATACCAGGTGAAATTTCTTAGCAAGTTAGATTTTACGCGTTCATTTCTGGTTTCAATTATTGTTGCACCAAAACTATCGGCCTTTTCATTTGATCATTGCGTCTTGTTTGATCTCGAATCTGCGGTTATGGTTGGTCAATCTGTGAATGGCTACTCGATCTTCAATTTTGATTTAATGGGTAACGCTGCCTTGGCTGATATCACGGGAAGCTCAATCCTTTTTAGCTGGCATCATTGTGGTGGGAACTTTGAACATCCCGTCACCCTATATACATTTCTCGTAATTTTGTAGCTCCAATTGGTGACCTAGGGTTCATATTTTCAGACAGATACTCTTGAACCTTGATTCAGTTCATTATTTCTCTCACAGCGCTGTCTCAAGAGATCTGATGAACCGAGTGACAGGATCAGTGAACTGCACGATGAAATCCTCTGTCATATACTGTCTTTCCTGACACTTAAACAGGCAGCCGCCACTAGCGTCCTTTCTAGTCGCTGGAGATACTTGTGGCATCCATACATTGCATCGACTTTAATGCTGCAGCCACCCATGAGAGAAGAGCTAGATTTCCATAGCTGCCTACTGGGATTGGGTCCGCAACATATAGCAGATGGTGCTAAGGAGAACTAGAGTTCCAAAACTCGGGACAAATTCAATAACTCTCTTTACTTGACTATAGAGTATAAGGATGGTGTCGACCCCTGGGCTCTTTGCATTTCTCTGGGTGGTTGGTTCAAAAGCAGGAACTGTAATTTCAATAAGGCTTTTGGACGATGCAAGAGCCTTCCAAGTGAGTTCTCTATACTTTCCCAGTTCAACTTCTGGATTGAACCACTATGGTTCTATTTGGTCCTCGACAATAGAGATTGTGTAAGTAATTAGGAGAAATGATTGAGCAGCTATTGTTAGTTGTTACTGTGTATGGTCCTTAAGTCACCAGCATTAGGTGACATGGGGCATCTTTTGTATTTTAAAGGTGCTGGTCGTTCATCAAGCTTTACAAGTTGGATGCTTTTTGTTGGTCTGAGTTGGAAAGAGTCTAGATATATTTTTCCTATGTAACATTTCTCTACTTGTCCGACCTATCTGCCTTACCAAGCAAAGAAGTGGTAACCTGGATGAGTGTTCATTTTCCTTCATTCTCTATCTGGGGAGCTACTCATAATAGCTCTATATGCTTCTGAAGCCCTAAGGCTAGTAGGTTAATTCGTGCTTTCCTAATGCCTTCTGATGGATTCAAGACAGGGTACATTATGCCAGCAATAAGAAGAGCTTAGATTGATTGCTAGATTAACCAATTTCATGGAAGTGGTAGTAGCTTTGTTACATATTTGATATGGTTAGTGTTCTTCATTTGCTCCTGAGATTTTGAAGAAGTAGCACATGGTACATTTTTAAGCATAAATTCCCATCTTATGGGTTCATTTGATGATAGACTTGCTCTCCAGGAAGCGGTTTTGGCTATAGTTAAGCGATAAGGATGAGTTCTTGACATAACCAGATCTTTTTTCTTCGTGGTTGCAGGCATTGTTTTTCTTCCTCACCAAGAAGCAGAAGTGAAATTGTGTAGCTTTAAGAGAACTGTCCCGCCGGCAGGCCTTGGCACTTGTAAGTGTTGGACCTTGATGGGGAGCACTGTGGTTGTGAGTCGTGGCATTGAGTTCATGCAGCAGCATTCCTAGGGATGACTTGTTATGGTTCCAACCTTACCAAGCCGGTTATCCAATGATAAATTAAAAAAACGGCTAGTGGTTGACAATCTTCCCTTGCTGAGCAGAAGCTGATAGGAAAATAGTATCTTCATTCCTCAAGTTAAGTTAAGCTGGTGATTCTATGATTCAAAACCAATCCGCTCCCTGGGTTGCTGTTGTGCGGGTTGTTGTTCGCTCCAAGCAGACTATCACCTTTTCTGATCTTCATTCGACTCATGTATTTCCTTTAGCGCTTTGCTCCTCCTCCTGGTAATCGAGTTGTCCATTTACTATGACGACGTGCCTCCTAGTTGTCTATCTTAAGGTCATCTTCTTTCGATTTTTGTTATGTAAGTTCATCTTATGGGGAAAATAAGACTCTACATCACTGTTTGTGTGTTTCCATTTCAAAATTTCACTGTATTTAAGCTCGATAACAGTTATCTGTGATGCTAGTTATAAATTCTTAAATCCGCATTATTTGTGGTGCTAGTTATAGATAGGGGTGTCAATTCGGGTTCGGTTTTTCGGGTTTACCCGAAACCGATCCGATTATATACATTTTCGATTTTTCGGGTCGTTTCGGGTATCGGGTTTTTTGGTTTTGGGTTCGGTTTTGCTTATCGGTTTTTTAGGTTCCGGCTAAAAACCTCCAATGAATAGAACTCAGCCCGTATTTTTAGGCGTTCAGGTTTTCGGGTTTCGGTTTTGCTTTAACCAAACCCGAACCCGATAAGTAATTTTCGGGTTTCGGGTAACCGGAACCTGCAAATCCTTATCGGGTTCGGGTTCGGTTTTAGTGATTTTCTGTTTCGGGTTTTTTCGGGTTTCGGTTTGGGTAACCGAACCCAACCCGAACTGACACCCCTAGTTATAGATTAATAAAATGAAGTAGTAGTAACCTGGGTGTATTTCTCCTAATGGTACGATTACATAGTGCTCGAATGGGATACACCGAAGAAGATGATGATGCATGGGAGGCTATTCAGAATCAAACGACGCTCTTTTAAAGATTTCCAGTGATCGGACTACAAAACCAGGTTGAAGGCATTTTGGAACTGTAGTTACATCGCGCTGCTGGTAGTGGTAATGTTGTATCAATCACTGATGTTCATTCTCCAATTGTTCGTCCTTACGGCAGTTTCTATCTGAAGCTCAAAACAACTTGGATAATGTGGCTTGTCCATTTTCGTACAGCTTCATGCAATGCTACAGAATTTCAAAGTATCACAAGAAGTTCAAAGTTCAATCCATCCGTGGATTTCGATCAAGAGGATGCTTTCTTTTGGTCTTCCAAAACTCATCCTTCTTCCTTTTCTTCTTAGGCTTCAAACCAACCGTGCTATTAATTATACCAAGGATAGCACTTCGATCCTTCCTATTCTTTATCGCAGCTTTCACATCCAATATCCTCCTAAGCTTCTGATACGACTTGTTGTCAGCAGGCAACTGACCACTCTTCACCATTTGCTTGTGGTAGAAGAAAGCCCTCTTGAAATCACGCACTCGAACGTACGCATATATCATAGTCAAGTATGTAACTGAATCAGGCTTCAGATTAAGAGCCGACATATCCTTCAACAGTTGTGGCAGCTTCGAGTGCTGCCCGCCTCGTGCATACGCATTCATCAGCATGTTGTAGGTCATCACCGTTGGTGTGAATCCCAGCTTCCCGAATTCATGAATTACATCCCTCGCTTCCAGATAGCAGCCCTGTTTTGCAAAGCCGTCGAGAACAATGTTGAATGTGACCCGCGTCCCTTGCACTTTGTCACTCCTCATTTGTTTCCAGATCTTCATCAAGGTTTCAGTGTCGCCAGCACGTCTAAACGCATCCAATAAGGCCGTGTAAGTCTCTACAGCAGGTTTCACTCCTTCGCTCCGCATGTTCTCAAACGCGGTGTAAGCTTTCTCGTGCCAGCCGCTGACTGAATATGCATGGATGAGAGCTGTGTAAGAATGCGAAGTGGGTTTAATGCCGAATTTCTTCATTCTGAGAAATGCATCTGCAGCCACATCACTCATCTTCTTCTGCCTCCCGTACGCGCTAATTAGGCATGTGAACGATTTAGCATCGGGCTTTAAACCCTCGTCCTGCATCTCTTGCAGTAAGTTTTCAACAATGTCAGGCTGCATTCTTCGGCTGTATGCATCCATTAGAACGTTAAAACTGGCAGAAGTCGGCTTAACACCTTTGGCTTTCATCTCGGCTAAGAGGCCTTCAGCTTCTTCGACTTGGTTGGATTTAGCATAAGCATCCATCAACGTGTTGTACACAATTGCGTTGGAAGGAACTCCTTTCTTCTCCATCTGTGATTGTATGATGAGAGCTTCCTCCTTCAGACCTTCATCGCAGAAAGATTTTATTAGAGCGCCGAGAACTTCTGTACTCCATTTCACTCCTTTCCTGTTCATTTTCTGAAAGAAACCCCATGCTTCCTTGGAACTACACCCTCTTTTTCTCATTATCGTGATCATTATCGAGCAAGTGATGTGATCAGGTCGGATGTTATTTACTTCCATTTTCTCAAACACCTTGCAAGCATCATCATACCTGGGGAGGAGCAGCCAATTAGAACCCTAAAACCCTAATTCGAATCAGGAATGTCATGAATATGCAATGGGAAAATGTGGGGAAAGAAACAAACTTTCATACCTGCCGCAGCAGAGAAGCCCGGAAATGGCAGAATTGTAAACATGGACGTCTCTGAATGGTTTGGTTTGAGGCAAGTTATTGAAGAGGATCATCAATCTGTCAGCCATGGCAGCTCTTCCTAAAAGAGGGAAGAGAATAGTGAAAGCACGAGGGGTGACGAGGGACGGCTCTTGCAAACCCATCCACTCGAAGAAGTACAAGCAACTCATCACCATGCCTTCCTCTTCGCTCAGTAGCTGCAATAGCTCCTCGCTCTGCTTCTCGCTGATTTTGTCCTGGTATCCATCCAATTGCTCCCCCAGCGTCGTGTTCACCGGCAAACTCCTCGCAATTCGCAGTATTTCTCCGACGATTCCCTCCGGTAAAGGACTTGAATCGGAGCAACTACTAGTACCGCCCACCGGCTGCGTTTCTCCCACGGTGGAGGCGGTTTCGGGGTCTTCATCGTCGTCGGAGTCGAAGTCCGGGGCGAGACGCCACTGGGTGCGGCGGTTGCTCTGAAGAGTGAATCGGCCGGGGACAGGTGGGTCTTTGGTGGGAGGGCGGGACTTGAAGAATCGAACGATTGGGTCGGAGAGGTCCAGCTGATTTTTCTCTTCTTCTTCCTCCGCCTCCTCGTCGGCATCTTCATCAGGTTGGTCTAATTCCGCTGCTGCTGCGGCGGCTTCTTCTTCTTCGAGAAATGGAAGGAAGATTGCCGGATAAGGGTGAGAAGCGGACGGCGGAGGTGCGCAGAACAGGGAGAAGGGCGGCCGCAATGGTTTGGTAACAATGGAGAATTGGGAAGCGGGAGACTTCGGATAACGAGGATTAGCGGGGAACAAAGGAAGAGGAGAAGAAGGGGCTTGCCGGGAAATTAACGAGGCTGCGGCAGCCATAGCTTCAGTATCACGATGCTCAGTGGCGCTGCTGCTTTAGCTTAAACTCGCTTCCAGAGCTTCAGTCCAGCTCAACTGCTCAAGTTTCGACCGGTTAGAATGGTTGTCAAACCAATGGCCTCTCGGCCGGTATTACAGTGTTGAACCAGTATCGGTTATAAAATTAAACGAAATTCTTCCGGTATGATTTATTTCAGATCTCTAAACAAAATTATGTTTTTTTTAATTCAATTATCAATTTTTTTATTTGTTTTTTGAATTTGTAAATTAAATGTTGATGTATTTGTTGGATATGGATATGAATGTGTAGATGTTTATATTAGGGTAATGTATATTTTTTATTCAAAACTTTTTCAGATTCTTTATATTATCTAAATCTATTAAAATGCTACTAATTAACTAAATCTTTCATAATGTATCTGTCAGAACAGAAGCGTGCAATCAACAATCAAGATCAACACAAGCGAACACAAATTTAACGTGGTTTACTAACACAATGTGTGCTAGCTAATCCACGGGCAGGGGAGAACAAATTTCACTGATTTGAGGAGAGTACATGTTACAAACCAAACAAACTAACATGACTGACCTTACTACAGACTAGGGTGATGAAAAGTATTTATAGAACTCTTCTCCTAATCCCAAACAAAAAACCAAACACTTTTTCTCATACATACAAGGAAAAGGTCAAACAAAACCCAAACACAAACCCAAACAAAATAGGCCCAAACACAAAACAAATCCAAATCAAATTCAAGTCATATTCTAACAATCTCCACCTTGACTTGAATTCTCTCTCAAATACCAAATGTACCAGACGCAACCAAAGTTGCCAAATGTACCCAACCGTGATACATATCGCCAGACGTATCCAAATGCGATCGAAACCGCCAAACTCAAACGCGATGCAAATCGCCAAACTCAGATGCAATCAAAATTGGCAGACGTACCAAACTCCTCCAAACAGCTGTACCAGAATCTCCCCTGCCTCCAAATGCCCCTAAGGGCTGTTAACAAATAAAAACATGCAGCAAGTCCAACTCATGTTGGGACTTGCCATGCAGAATCAGCTTGGTGTATTTTCGTCCATAACACCAACATCATTTATAACTCTAACTTCAAACCTGCAGCTCCAAATTGATTTCTCAATCTTCAAATCCATAACAAACATCCTTGGTGATCGAAAACCCTAATCACCACCAAGGATAACAAACATAATTCTCCCCGAACCACAAGCTATTACCGAACACTATAAATTCAAGTAATTGCTTTCGAATTCCAATTGGTCCGCCAACCAGCTCCCTGCCGCAAATTCCAAATTCCCAAATTCTCTTCTCAACAAATACACCAAATAATTTCAAACTAATGCGATTTCCAATGTCCCCCAAAAAAATACTAACGAGAGCCTTGATATAAAAGTTGAGTGCCAACTTTTAATTCCCACCAATCAATGTCGAGATTCCAAGTTCATTAGCAGACAAAGCTCCAAAAAAAGAATTATGGAGACGGAGTCAACTCAATCACTAGTTCGAAACCAAACTTTCGATCGAGAGAAGAGCTGTCGAGAACGGCCGAAGCGGACTTCTAAGCAAAGCGGATTGCGCTAATTTGTATGCTGATTTCCCAAAACCGCATCCAACACCGATCCCAAAATCCGCAAAGACAAATTCAAATAGCCCAAAGATCAACCAGGCTCTGATTCCACTTGTCAGAACAGAAACGTGCAATCGACAATCAAGATCAACACAAGCGAACACAAATTTAATGTGGTTCACTAACGCAATGTGTGCTAGCTAATCCACGGGCAGGGGAGAACAAATTTCACTGATTTGAGGAGAGTACAGGTTACAAACCAAATTCTAGAACGAATAAACCAAACAAACTAACCTGACTGACGTTACTACAGACTAGGGTGATGAAAAGTATTTATAGAACTCTTCTCCTAATCCCAAACAGAAAACCAAACACTTTTTCCCATACATACAAGGAAAAGGTCAAACAAACAACAAACAAAATAGGCCCAAACACAAAACAAATCCAAATCAAATTCAAGTCATATTCTAACCGTATCAAAATATTAGTCATTTTTATGTTATCGTTAATAATTTTATAACTCTTTTCTTAGCTAAAATACTAAAATTTTGCAATGTTGACCTTCATGTGTCTCTTCCAAGTCAGTATCATATTGCCAAGTCTATATTACTAATAAAATTGCTAACTGAAAGTTAACATTTGACTCATTCTTAGTATTTCGATAGATTTGGATAATATAAAAGAATATGAAAAAAAATTGAATAAAAATAGACATTACCCTTTATATTATTTGTTGGATTCAAGTATATACATTTGAGTGTTAGCGTTAAATGTTGTATTTAAATATGAGTATTTTTCATTTTGTTTGGTATGTAATATTTTATTTAAATATAAATGTAGAATTTAGATAGATTTTGTTCACATATGTTATATATATAGCTAAATCAATTTAGTGCTAATAATTTCTCAATTTCCTATAGTTTTGTTAAAATTGACAAAATAATTTTTGTTAAAATTGAAATGAACCGGTATAAATCTAATTGACATGAACTGGTATAAATTTATTATATTATAAGTCGAACCATATAACTTAAAACTGACATAACAATATCAACTGGTATCATACCGGCTATCTTGACCATGGCCTACTAATTCCCACAACTTCTTCATTTTGGCAATGAGCCCCTCAACTATTTTGCAAGTCAATCAAGTCCCACAATACGCTTAATATAAGTTGATCTATCAAATCAACCAACTCTTTTGGATAAAAACAAACCTTATCGGTAGGATTCAAAGCGAATTCAACCCAGACAAAATGAAAAGAAGAAAGGGGGAAAACACATATGCCATGATGAACAAGATCTATATTTACAGACAGTTTGGTACCAAATGAATCAAGAATTTATTTCATTATAAAATGAATTATCGTGTAGAATTCATTGTCAAATGAAATTTTATGTTTGGTATGTTATATTCAAATCTTTAGAAATAAAATGAAGTATCGTGTAGAATTCATTGTCAAATGAATTCTTGTGTTTGATATGTTATATGTATAAGTAATTTAGTTAATATAAGAGGATAATCAAGTCATTCTTTTATAATTAGTAAATACTTGTGGAATTCATTTGGAAATTCCATCTCAATTCCTCGGAATTGCTATAACTAGTTCCAATTCCGTAGAATTCAAATTTTAGAATTGAAAATTCCTTTTAATACCAAACACAAAAATATTTCATTTCAAAATGAATTTCTCAAAACTTATAAAATTCATTTATATCAAAGGTACGTTAGTTTAACTAAAATAGAGCAGCTGAATGTGATCACTAAGTAGCAAAGGAAATCGTCAGCTGAAAATGAATTCCTTTTAATACCAAATACAAAAATATTTCATTTCAAAATAAATTTCTCAAAACTTATAAAATTCATTTATACCAAAAGGTACGTTAGTTTAACTAAAATAGAGCTCACTAAGTAGCAAAGGAAATCGTCAGTTCGGGTCCGGTAATAAAAAAACAGGAGAGCTAAACCATGTTGGGGCGCTGCGGGAGCAGAAGATTGTAGAATTTATCGTGCAAGAAGAAATTCTTTCCCTTGCTATCAACAGCTTTCTTCCAACCGCACCATCCCCCATTCACTATCTTTTTGTGCTCGTCGTTCCCTGTGAAATGAGGATCAAGTATCAGAAATGCGCAATCCCCAGTTCCCTCATTGTAGTCCACTCCCAGCAGGGTGTATGCAAGAACACCTCCTCCTGCATCAACCAGCGGCCGAAACAACTCAGACCCAGTTACTCTCTCCGGCGACGAAGTGAATCCAACTATTTCGTTTCTGTGGCCATAGAGAATGTATTACGTACCGATCATAACCGGTGTGCCTTGATTCTCGAAGTGGAGTGCCAGCTCTCTACATTTTTCGGGAAGCTCGGCCCCTGATCTGACGTTCATGATTTTGCAACTTACCTGTTCATTAAGAAGCTTAATTACTCGCTGAATCAAGAAAAATCAAATGGGAAAGTACTTATCCAACAGAAGAAGAACGCATTTCAACTTCGATTGTCTTATTTATCCTGATGAGATGAGAACCCAGGGTGACCCCCCAGTGGCATGTATACTTACACCAAGAAGCTTATCCAAGACAAAGCTCAACTCGATGGCACCAATCCAATCACGGGATCCCACAAAAGGGGGCTCTTTGTCACCAATTTCGACGAGTGCTTGTTGTATTTCCCTACGATCCGAAAGTGTGAACATCAATACTTTGAGGTCGAGGAACCATAATCATTATTTTAAGTCGGAGGACAGGACAAAGGTGAAATTTGAAAGACACTAAATGGTTACTAGAACTAGTTTATACCTATGAGAAGGGACATCAACGGCTGTATAATGCTGAAGTTTGAACCACGAGATAATAGTCTGCAGAGAGCGGTAGGCACAACCCCAGCCCTGAACATTTCACATGAGGATCATATACTGTTTTAAGGTACCACTTATGGATAAAACTGTGAACATGAACTCACTAGTGGTAAGATTAAAGACCAGGTTTCAAGGAGTATCACTTAAGAATAAAATGCAACCCCTATGAAACACTGATGCCTCAGCATGCTCACTATAGAACAAACTGTTCAATTTTATGGCACAAAGCTTGTCATGCAACAGAAACCATAATCTATCTTAAGGACTTCTCAGGGACTAATAGCTATATCCTGTTTAAGAAACTACCTTTTAGCCTATAAATATACTCACCTCCTTGAAGAAATGAGAGCTTTCAAGAACCATTATTTAGACTAGCTATCACCCTATTACCGTGAAAGAGTTAACCATTTAACAACTAACTATCGGTCAGCAAAGAGCCAAAGTTCCTAAAAGGATCAACTGGAAACAGTATACTTACCGAGTCATCAAAGCCATCCTGAAGATAGTGATAGTATTCATAAGAACCCTGAACAAGAGAGGTGACACCTCCAGAGACTGCAAGAAGATAATTGTTTATGAAACTGTCAACAAGCTGCAATAAAGTACAAATCACGCACACCACTGATAAAAGTAACAAACCTCCACTAGTATTAATCCCAATGTGTACATCCTTGAGCATACTGGTGCCTGATAGTCAAGATTCAAACTTCTGAAGTAAAGACAAAAGAAATATAAAAAAAAATGCAAAATGGCAGATGCTTCTGATGTAAATCTAAGAGATACCTTTCCGCCCATAGTTTCTCGCAGGATTATCTTTCAGCGAAGAGAGATTCAGGGCATTGGCGATTCTTAGGAGAGGACGATCAACAGGTAATCCCAATCTCAAGTGCAAAGATTTTCTGATGTCAACTGTAGAAACCTTCTTCCAGTAAACCCAAATATAGAATGACCAAAAGCTGAACAGAAAATTTCATGGTACAGCTCAATGATTACCTTGCTTCATTTCTTCCTCCCCATAATTGAGTTCATAGATAACAGTTATTGGATGCAACAGCCCTGGTGGATTAAAGTGATAAGGATACAGCTGTAAGAACAAGAAAATCTCAGTTACTATGACAACAAAGAAGACCTGGCTTGCATGGCTATTTACTACTGGTATCGTCTTACCCGGGGATGCTGTGCTACAAGATTCGGAACAAGTAATCTCTTCATTGAATTCAACTGGTCAACTAAAGCAGGGACTACCAGCTTCGAAACAGCAACTTGAAGCGGCACATCTTTGGCCGCATAGCAGATAACGTCTAGCTTTAACTCGGCAACCAGAAGTTTTGTTTCTTCCAAAGCTGGAATTTTCAGAAGTGAAGACCCCATTCAAATGGTAAGGTTGCCAAGTAAATTAGCAAGTACCATCAAAATCTTAACATTTGAGCTAGTACCTGGAAAATATTCTGCAATTGGTACACTGGCCTTTGGAGATTTTGCTGATTTATTAAGTAGCACACTCACTTGGATTGTATCTGCATTCTAAGCAGTAAACTTCCTATGAGAAGAATGCCATAGCAATGTAACGGCCTACTTGTGTACTACAAACTAAAAGACAGCATCTTTTCGTTCCTGAAGAGAAACATCACAGTTTACATGAACTATCTGTTGCTGTTTTACCTCTATTGACAAAGTTGAAGGGGTGGATTTACTCTTCGAACAGAAATGCGCACATTTCAAATCTTTCAAATCAGAAGCTTCCGATGATTCATCACCCGTAGACTTCACCACGGAGACTTCTGCTTTAAAATCCAAGTCCGTAGCACGAAGAATCACGGGCCCTTCTGCAGAGTCCTTGCATAACATTTCCAGGCAGTATACAGCCTGTGGTTCTTTGAACTTAGCAATGACTGCTTCAATTGCATTACCAAACATCTTCTCGGCGCCTGAGAGACAATAATACCACCCAAATTGACGCCAGACACGAAAAGGAAACCTAAAAAAGAGATCTGATACAATCACAGCCAAGAAAGCACCTACCAGACTGGTTGCCCACTGGAACACAAAAAGGCAACTTGATCGGGAGCTCGCATCGTAAGAGACAACCTTTCTCCCAAACGTAATGCTCAGGGTGATCTTCGTAAGCAACAGAATTGATACCTTCAATCCTCGTCGAGTTCCCATTCTTGCATATGAAGAACCGAAGACCACCGTTCTCTGATCCTGAAACTGCCCCTATCAATTCCCAATTCCTTGATTTCGCTTCTCCGACATCGGAGAGGAGCTTTCTCAGGCTACGGCAAGAATCGAGAGCTTCGCGGCCTGCATTTTCAATATCCGAGCTGCTGCCAACTAGCAACGCTCCAATTACTTCAAATCCCTTGACTAGCAGCGGTCGAATATCCTCTGTTTAGTCCATTCAATTCAGTGATGGGTTAACAAGCAATTAAGGGTTTATCAATCCGTGAAGGAAGACGAGAGGTAAACTAGAATAAGGTACCCGATTCTCTAGCATAATCCGGAACACGGGTGTTGGGCTGAAAGTGAATGCATCTGAAGACGGAAACGATGGTGAAAGGCGGGAGAAATGGAGATCCGATTAGCCAATGGAGGCCCGGCTCGGCTGCGCTGCTTACTGCTTTAGAGCAGAGGATCCTGACGGTGGTGGACTCGCTTACTTCCTGCGTCACCATGGTTTGCTTCGCCTTTGTCCACCTTCCTTTTCACTCGCACTATTCAGATCATTTATATAGAGGCATGAGTTTGTACTTTTTTACAAAAAAAAAAAAAAAAACAAAAAAAAAATGTAACCATATTACAGAAGTGCAAATTGTAGTTTGAATGGGTTTTTGCTAAAACATTGCTTTCCTAAAGTTATTATCCAAAATACTATTAAAAAAAACCTATATAAAAAAGTTAAGGAATTTGCTACGGTGATATGCACTTTTCAGTCGACCTCATACAGGATTAGGTCGACCTAATCCTATATGAGGTCGACCTAATTCTAACTGAGGTCGACCGGAAAGTACAAATTACCGTGACATGCATGTCACCGTAGGCACACCCAAAAAGTTATTATCCAAAATACTACACTAAACTATTTCCAAAGCTATACTCATATATGTGAATGGGTCACTACGAGCTTATAAATACAAATTGGAGTAAGATTCTCCCACGGTCACACCAATTTACGTTTATAAGACAACAACAATACAAGTAGTGATTTATATTGTTAATTTGTGACATTATTCAAATTCACTTATTTGATTGAGTGTCTATCTTATTTGTCAAGATGAAATCCTACCTATAGTCCTTTAGATTGTCTCCGGCTAAAGTTAGGGTGCATAACTAAATCTGGATCTTTCCTTTTTAGTGAGCATAGAAATTCATTTATAAGGGTGAAGAATTAAAGATATTTCTCTTATCTTATTCGTTCTAACTCGGATCCTCTTTTTTTTTTTTTTTTGCACAGATGGAACGAGTTAATTGTGCTCTACAAAATGAGATCCATTTTTAATATTTTTTTAGAAAAAAATATAAATTCTGACTTAAAATCATAGAGAAATCGTTCGTTAAAGATTAGAGGCTTTCAAGAAGAGAAAAAGAGATGCTGATGTGGCGGATTCTAGTTGGATTACCAATGATTATTGACCAATATGTTATGCATGAGATCCGCTCCCCTACTTGTTAATCATGTTAAAAAGCAATCAAGTTGTTGTCAAGCATTACTCGTTTTTCATGATTGTGATTCTCCATATAACATATGGAATCAAAGTTCATTTATTGCCCCATATAAACAACACAACACAAAGCAAACCCAAAGCCTGCAAATCGCTTCTAGTAGCCACTTTGCAAGTACTGAGGTATCTCAAGTCTTGTATAATAGCATTTCCCACCACCCCTGCACTACGAGGAGCCTCCCCATGAACCCTCTCGCACCTTTCCTTCCATATACCTGAAACACAGAAGCACCAGAGCCATCCCACCATTCTCCCAGCTGCTGTCCTCTACGATCTAAGCTAACAAGCAGCAGAGACTGTGCCCAGCCATGGCCCTCGACACCACTGTGTGCAATAGAGAATCCCCAACAACTCCTGTGAAAAAACACACTGGAAAAACAAATGGGTTCTCCTTTCAGAACCATTGTTACACAGCACACAAGCATCATCAACCAGTTTACCCCATTTAATCAGCTTGTCAAGCGTTGCGATACTGTCCTGCAAAACCAACCAAGAAATAAGACTAGGTCCAGGGATATATCCCTTCCCCCACACCAATTTTTCCCACAATACCACAAGCCACTTCTTCCTAAGCGATTCCCAAACCATTTTCATAGTGAAACACTGTATCGGAGTACCATCCCAACAAAGAGATGCTCCTTGTCCAAAAAAATGAGGTTGGACACTAGACCTAACTTTGAGTATTCGTCTCCAAGCCCGCGAACTACTGCAAGAGGACCTTATTGTCCAAATACTACCATTTTTCACCTGTACTGCATAATCCAGGCAACCCAGATTGTACCACTCTGCATTAAGAGTAGCCAAATCTACCTTGTTGTACAAGCATGATTCCATGTAAACAATTCCTTTAAACCCAATCCTCCTCCTTCCCTAAGTTTGGCTATTCTATCCCAACCCACTTTTTCTCCGCCCTCCTCACCTCCATGCCAAAGAAAATCTGTACATAGTTTATGCACCCTCTTAAGCACACTCTTTGGTAATAGAAAAACTTGCATCCAAAACTGTAGTACTCCCATCACCACTGTGGCTAACAATTGTAGTAACCTTCCTGCATAGCTGAGTTTTTTCACTTTCCATTTTTTAATCTTCTGAGTAATTCTGTCAACCAATCTGTTACATTCAGCTGACGAAAGCTTACCAGAAATAAGAGGGACCCCAGATATATGACTGGGAGCTTACCGTCATGGAAACCAGAAAGCTCCAGTGCATTGCTTTTAAACTCCACAGAGTTACCCCCAAAATACACTTCACACTTTCTAGGATTACATTGCAATCCAGATAACTCATAAAACTCATTAAGAACCTTTTGGACAGCAACAATAGCCCTAGCAGACCCCTTAGTAAAAATCAACAAATCATCAGCAAAGCTAAGGTGAGTTAAACCTACTTTTTTGCACTGTGCTGGGTGGTATGGAATGAGGCCTAAACCAGCTGCAGCATTCAGAAGCATAGATAACCCTTCCATTGCTATGGTAAACAGATAAGGGGACAAAGGATCCCCATGTCTAACCCCCCCCCCCCCCCCTCTCTTAGCTCCAAAGTACCCACACAATCCACCATTCACACAAATACTAAACCGAGCTGTTTTCACACACAAAGAAATCCACTTGCAGAAGGGTGCAGAAAATCCCATTATATCCAACATTAGAAACAAGTATTCCCAATTAATCGAGTCAAAAAGCCTTCATTAAATCTACTTTGACAGCATATCGTGAGGATAACTGTTTCTTATGATATCCACTCACCATTTCTTGAGCCATGAGTATATTGTCCACAATCCTTCTACCCTCAATAAAAGCATATTGATTTCCACTTATAATTGTAGGAAGAACCTTTTTCAACCAGTTAGCTAGCATTTTAGCAATTATTTTGTATAACAGGTTAATGCATGAGATTGGTCTAAAGTCCTTCAATGCACAGGCAGAGGGAATCTTAGGCAATAAAGTAATGGCAAGAGAATTGAAACTACCTGGCAACCTTCCAGACTGAAAGAAGTCCAACACAGCTGCAGTAACATCCCGTTCAATAATTGGCCATGTTTTCCTATAGAACCCAGCTGAGAACCCATCAGGCCCTGGAGCTTTATGAGGATCCATGTGCATCACCACCCTTCTAACATCATCCTTTGTGAAAGCAGAACCCAGAAACAACCTCTCCTCCTCACTAAGTCTCTTCTGAATTAGATTTTCCAATTTCACCCTGTCAGGGTGAACATTAGGATCCATCCTATCAAACATGAACTTGTAAAACCTAACAGCCTCATCAGCTATCTGATCACTTTCAAACAACTCCTCATCATTTTCTGTAACCAACTTCCTTATTGCTTTCTTGGCATTTCGAATTTTCACAGCTTGATGAAAAAATCCAGTACATCTCTCACCCAAGGACAACCAGTTGATCCGAGACTTCTGCCTGTACGTGCTTTCTTTTGCTTTCCTAAGCTCAAGCAAATGAGCCTCCATATCAGCAACCTCTTGGAAAACTTGTTCACCAGGCTCATCAAATGCTTTGAGTTGTGCATTATTCAACCTCTCTTCCATACCCTTCACTTGGCCACTCAGATCTCCATAAAATTCCTTGTTGAACTGCTTCAACAGTTTCTTTGCATCGTTGAGTCTAGCCTTCAATACCGTTATAGGAACCCCCTGTGCTTCCAAATCCCAAGCCTTCTGAATCAGAGGAATGAATTGAGGATCCTCAGTCCAGAATTCAAAGAATTTGAAAGGTTTTGGGAGTGATTTCTGACCAAGCTTTGTGGCCACAAGCACACCACAATGATCAGTAAAAGTAGCATGTAGAAATTCTACCATACAATCATGGAAATTATCAAACCAAATTTCATTCACCAAAGCCCTATCCAATTTCTTGGCAATTGGATTCTCCACCTGCTTATTTGTCCATGTAAATTGAGGACCTGCAACTCTGTGGTCAAACAGTTCCATGTTTGCTACCCAGTTGCTGAAGTCAGTCATACATCCAGTAGTATCTCTAAGACTAGAGGTATCCCCAGGTTTCAATACATCATTGAAATCCCCTCCAACAAGTCATGGAAGCCCACTAACCTTTAATTGAGACATTTCCAGCTATGTTGCCGTCTTTCCAATTCATCATTGGACCCATACACTACAGTAAAAAACAAAGATTCCCCATTCACTGATTTAGCCAGACAATGCACAAAATTCTTCTTAGGCGGCAAGATGCTAACATTGACCACATCCGGATCCCAAAATAACCACACTCTCCCCAACTCAGAATCCACATAATTCAAATATTTCTTCCAATCTTGAAAAAAATCAGCTGTCACATCCTCTGCTTCTACTTTCCTCACTCTCGTTTCAAGGATTGCTACTACATCTACTCTATGCTTTCAAAGAACATTAAACATGTCCTTCCTCTTAGAGGGTTTTTTTAAACCCTCTAACATTCCAGAAGAGAACAATCATGGGGGGAGGAGGGTTGATGGAGCCCTGACTTCTTCCCACCTTTCTTTGGAGCACCCTGCAGCTGAACCATCCTTTCCTTCTGCAGTCCATCTAGAACTGCAAAAGACTGCGAAGTAGACAAAACACTGGTTGGACTCATCAGAGGAAACCATCTTGGTTTAGCTCCATTCACCACCTTCTGAAACTCCATATCTGACGGTAGCTAAGGAGAAGGGCAATCTGAGACCTGTTGAAATGATGCCTCTAAATTGACCCCCTGAGCCTGTAAATCAGCAGCTAATACCACCCTGTTTGATCCAATCAACATATTGAAACCAGTATCCTCCTTTGGATCATCAACTAAAATATCCTTACCCTTGCCCTAGATTTCCAGAACAGGAGTAGTAGGCTCCTGAATCTCTACAGTTAAAGAAACAGGCTCCTGAGCCACTTCTTGTCGTTGCATCCCTACCTTCTGCACCCAAACCTTCTGATACCTTATACAACCACAACCAAGCCCAAAGTTCTTACACATCTGGCAAATCGGAGGGAGATGACTATAGGTCACCCCTACTCAAAGTGAAGTATCATCTGTCGGCCAAATCAGGACATGGTCAGGGAAATCTCCATCAGCACGGAGCTCCACCAGGATCTTCGCAAAACCCAGCCTCCCTCCCACTCTTGTGGTCTGATCAACTCCAAGAGGAATCCCTAACCAACTCGCAGTTTTGCTAAGCCCCCTAAAGTTCACATACTCAATAGGGAGATTCAAGGATCTCACCCTGATCGGAAGGGGCTTGTGACCCAGGTCGGCAACATCAATCCCAGGTTTCCAAGGACGCAGATATAAAAGGTTATCAAGATAGAACCATGGACCGCTCGCCAAAATCCAATCACAAGTTGCCTGTGTTGGGAGCTGATTCAAGAGAAGTTGATCCCCCAGTAGAGACACACGCACCAGACCATCGCGTCCCCACATTCGATTTGCCCATCGCCGAAGCTCCGATAGCGCCGGGAACGGATGAAGAAATGGACCGACGAGGCTATTCTTCCAGCGAGCAGCGCCTTCATCACTAACCTCCTTCGACATCTGAAGCTCACCCTTGTAGACTACTTCTTGATAAAAATAAAAACGTGTGTTGATTAACCTTGATTATTGTGAACGGTGAAATTGTAATTAGGAAGAATTATGTGCATCTAGTAGGTTAGGTGATTATATTTGTCTTGGTGTTTGTTAAAATTTAAAAAGGAGTAATAAGGTTAATTATGTTTCATACCAAAATTTTTAATTCAACTAGTCCATAATGAAATCCAACAAACAAACAATAGCTTGCTTCAAGTCCATAATGAGCCAATTCCTGATAAACTCATTGTTTTATAAATCCTTATTTTAGTCAAAATCTTCATTTTTAAATCCATGAAGCAAATTACCCATAATTGGAAAGTACTGGTTTATAAAAGTAAAATAGAGAAGTGTTAGTATTTAGTTTATGAAAAAAATGGTAGGATTATAATTGAAAAGTACTGAATGAAAAATGAGTCAAAATGACTTCGTTGAAACCAATGACTCATTCTACTTGTTTTAGTGCAAAACAAGTTATTTAGTACCAAATGACTCATACAAACACTCTTAATCACCCATCGTCCTACACTGCATTTTCAGCTGTCAACACAAGAAGCTGCCGTAAAAGAGTCATACGTAGCACTTGCTAGGCTATCAACCCGAAAGTGCTCTTTGTCATCGTTTGAATTCTTCAGAAAGAGACTGTTGTTTACTGCTACACCTGAACTGGGTTACCTTCGATATTATGACTATCGTCCATGAGTTACAGAGTTTGTGGTTCAATATACAGATACACAAAAAAATGCAGAGAGTTATGGTGATCAATCACTTCCTCCCCTGTCTCCTACTGAATAAGAATTCTGTGTCTACACAGATATGACTGTGTATCCTATCACTATCACTGTCACTACTCACACAACTACTTAGCCATGCCACATGGTAGAACCCACCCTGCTAATGGCGACTTCTGACGCTCGTGAGGCACCTGCCATTCTTGTCAATGTCCTGAAAGGATTAACATATCTCCTTTTGCCATGCCATTTTCAACCAACTACTGAACGTTATAAAAGCTCAAGTATCACTACCTTGCCTCGGGGAGACTTGGGCGTTCTCCAGCAAAGGGTAACCGACTGATCTCTCGGTCTGCAAGAGGAAAGAAAGCATGAACCACTTGAATCTAGAGCATACATTGCACATTAAATTCTTCCATGTGTTCAACAACTTCACATTGCTAAAGTATGAAGGTCTGAAGGTTGCAATCTTGACTGAAACCACACTCATGGTTACGCTCCCGCTCCTTTTTGACAGGCTTAATTTCACATCCAGTGGTTTTTTATGCAGCATTGTCCTGTCATAATGATCGGCGAGATGAGGTTGTCCCTGTACGTAGCACATTCCCTTCGGCGCTTCTCAGAGTCCTCACCATTTCCAGCTTATGATAACAACTCCCTAGCAAAACCAAGTTGTCCTTTATCATCGACTTTTGGATGTAAGATTGGAATAATCAGAGTCACTACTGCCATATTGAAGAGGTGATTTGGCCTTCTTCTGCTGAATTCTGCGAGAACAATTGAACAAGCGAAAGGAAAGCTTCTGCAGTCTGGCACGCCTCGATGTGGTAGTATAGAGACTAGAGTACAAGATTGATTCTGATCACCACATTACAAACCCAGTTTAGAGAGCATTTCTCAATCGTTGCATGTCTGCTTCAGCTGTAAGACAAAAGTCACTATCATTCTTATTCTTATTTTCTTATATTAAAAACACTGTTCTACTTTTTACTATTCATTAACTGATATTTTGGCAATGACACACAATTTTGGGGTCAATGACCCATTGGGCTGGGTCCCAGCCATTTTTTACAATTTTTCCTCTTGTGCTCCCATTTCTCTCCACTCTTCTTCCATTTGATACAATAATCCTCTCACTCAAGAAGAAACCAAATAAATTAGTGCCCATCAAACACAGTTCCACTTTTCTTTTGCTTGAATTCAAAGAAAAAGATAACGAAAAGCTATATACCACTCGCCGTTAAGCACAGGCAAGAAGGCATAAGTAGCACGAAACGAACTTTCTCTCCACTCTTCTTCCATTTGATACAATAATCCTCTCACCAAGAAGAAACCAAATAAATTAGTGCCCATCAAACACAGTTCCACTTTTCTTTTACTCGAATTCAAAGAAAAAGATAACGAAAAGCTATATACCACTCGCCGTGAAGCACAGGCAAGAAGGCATAAGTAGCACGAAACGAACTTCTTTGTTCGTATTTGGTTTTTACTCCCTTATTTATTCTTTTTGCTCGAACTCGAATATGAAAACAACTGGAAAATTCCTTATTCTCCATGGAGAACACAAGTGGAATATGAACCAACTAAACGAGCTTATTTGTTCGTATTTGATTTGGACCCATTATATATCTATTTAGTTATTTGCTAGATCCGGAAATACCCACAAGGTGGGACAACAGAGTCACTGTAGTAGTACTCAGTGAAGAACAAGAGAAGCATATTAATAATTTTCAAAATGTGTTTGTTGTTTCCCAATCGGTACCTATCCATTGGTCAACGAGTCCATTTTTTATTGTTTGCTTCACCTTATTGCAAAATGTGTTTTCTCGATTTTTATTTAGCTGCTTAGATGTTCCTATTTATCAAATGAGAGGTATGCCTGCATTTTTTGGATTTGTGTTTTTTATAGGTTAGTTTAGTATCTCTTACAATCACATGTAACATTTCACATAATTACTTCCTTTACGCGAAGCGCAGCGAGCGTGTATATCTAGTAGTGTTACAATTGAGAAGAGTATATATGTAGAAGGAATAGAGTGATAAAGAGTAAAATATAATATAAAACAAAACAAAAAATAGCGAGAAATTAAATAATTGTAGATTGCAGGAGACCATTTAATCTGATTCTAAGGAACCACAAAAAAGGTCTCATATCACAAGTATAGGGCACTTACAAGCAAGTCTAGTAGTAAACCTTTTCCTTGCATCAGAACTATGTTCTTGACTTTTACTTGCTAGTATGTCCATAATGAGATTCGCCAACTGTGATACAAGCTGAGTAGGATCAGTCCTGGACCTCATCAGCTCCCTGGCCTTACTAACTGTGTTTGAAGTGTCGGACGACGGTGCAATTCATCATCCGAAACAACCCCAATCTGCATTGGTTCAGCAAAACAAGAACAATTCTCAAAATTGCAGACTTAGACAAAATGCAGTAAGCTATCAATTTGTATGACATACAAGTGCAGTATTCACACAAGTTCATAGACCAGGGACACCGTGATTCTTTTGCCAAGCAAAATCAATTGATCAAGCATCATTTTCAGCCTCTCTCAGGGAACCATTTGATTTAGCAGCAATGAAATCCAATGCTACTTGATCAAAGTCAAGACGCTCTTGAACACATATATCTCTTAGCCTGACACCGATATCAGAATCTTTCAACATTTGAAAAATGATACCCTCTGAGCTCTGGCTACTGCACTTCTTGGCAGCTTATCCAGATCAGGGGTGATCATCAGGAACACAACATGTTGAGAAAGGTTCTCCAGGTTGTTCAAAAATGCTGACCAGGAAAACTAACTGGTGAGCAACCAACTGCATCACGATCATTCATGAATCTTAAGGAAAGTTCATGTGAAGAGGTAGTTTCCCGGTCGACATTTTCAAGTAACTAGATGGCCGAGCTACGTAGAGGTTGAAGTGAATAGTAGCTAAAATGTTATTTGAAAAAAATATACGACAAAATATTATTTTTTGGTTAAATTGCAAGTTTGGTCACTCGAATTGCTACAAAATTTCACGTTTGGTCACTCGAATTCGTTTATTCCATTCGTTGTCACTTAAATTAGTTGAACAGTCCATGTTCGATCACTCTCCGTTAACCTCCGTCAGACTCCGTTAGTGTCGTCAGTTAACTGCTGAAAATGGCTAACACAGATGCCTAGTCACCCCATTTTAACCCAAGAAAAAATAGAAATTGACCCGCCACGTCAGAAAAACATGTCACCTACTATAAACACAACCCAACCCACCCAACCTAAAAAAACCATTAACCACCCAGAAATCGAACCCGTGACTCATCCACCCTTCTTCTTATTCCTCTATACCCTGCTTCCGCCGCCGCTGGGGGATTTCCCCTCGATCTCCCTGCTGTAGCCCCCGCCGCCGGATCTAGAAGTATAATCCATCCCACTTTCCTCTCTTACTCCGTCCACTATGTCCCCCAACCCAAACAGATCTCACGATTCCTCATGAAAGGTCATTTTCATTTCGTCAAAGCTGAAATAACTTGAAAATTTAACCGGGACAAAGAAAAAAGGAGAGACCTACAGCTTTCGCCAGTCCAGCATTTCGCTCCACTTCCCAAGCAACCCAACACAATTGCCAAAGAACCAGCACATAACGAAACAAGAAGCAGCAGCAGCAAAAAAATTAAGAAAAGGAGCTCGCTCGATCCAAATCGAGGGAACAGCAAAACGCACCTTTATATTGGAGAGCATGACCGGTGACTCGAGAAAGGAAGTCGGACTGAGCCCAGGAGGTATGGTGATGTAAGGAGACCTGGAGATCGGGAGCTTCGCCGGCGACATCAGCTTATACCTAGCTCCTCCTACACAACCGCCGCCGCCGCCAGAATCAGCGCCATTCTCCCTCTTCTGATCGGCCGAATCGCAAGCGGAAGCAGGGGGAGCCGGAAGGCGGAAGTCATTAGTGTCAGCAGCAGCAGCAGTAGTCTCCATTGGAGTAGAGAAAGAAGGAAATCCAGCAGCAGCAACAGCAAATTCCCTCTTCTGATCTGCCCTCGATTTCCCGTCTTTCTTCTTCCTCGCGAATCTGGATCCAGCGACGGGGCTGCAACAGGGAGATCGAGGGGAAATCCCCCCGGCGGCGGGGAAGCAGGGTATAGAGGAAGAAGAAGAAGGGTGGATGAGTCACGGGTTCGATTTCTGGGTGGGTTAATGGTTTTTTTTAGGTTGGGTGGGTTGGGTTGTGTTTATATGAGGTGGCATGTTTTTCTGACGTGACGGGTCGATTTCTGTTTTGTCTTGGGTTAAAATTGGGTGATTAGGCATCTCTGTTAGCCACGTCAGCAGTTAATTGACGGCACTAACGGAGTCTGACGGAGATTAATGGAGAGTGACCGAACGTGGACTGTTCAACTAATTTAAGTGACTACGAATGGAATAAACGAATTCGAGTGACCAAATGTGAAATTTTGTAGCAATTCGAGTGACCAAACTTGCAATTTAGCCATTATTTTTTTAAGATAAAATGAAGGAAAAAATTTTCAGAAACACATTTAATTGGGGTTTCTATTATTATTATGTTAGGTAGGATAATTATAATTATAGTTAGTGGAGATTTAGTCGTATTAGGATTATTATTAGGGTTTTCCAGTATTTCCCTATAAATATGTACTTTGGGTTTACGTCATAATCAGTCAAGAACAATATTACGAAAAGTATCCTAAACCCTAAACTCTCCTCTCAACTCCTAATTTCTCGTCTCATCCTCGTCCAAGGCCTCGGCCGATTCCCAATTCTATTCTTTCTCATCTAAATCCCTAATTCTTTCTCTCAAACCCTAAATCCCTAATTGTCACGAGTGCCGAAGATCCATATTAGACTCCCTAGAAGCGGGGTTCTCTCAAAAACTTTATGCATAAAAATTAGTGACAATAGATTGAGTGATTCAGTCTAATTAATTGAAAGATCAAGTCTAAATAGTTGAAAAAAATCAAAATAAGAGAAATATGAATAGATATTTGTAAAAAATTAAGATAGAATGTGTCAAATGGCAGGTCGGAAGTGTATACATGTGTCTGGCCCCACTACTGTATATCAGATAATACCCACTCCATCACGGGAAAAATCGTGTAATACTCAACGGGCAGGTTCAAATTAACATCCCTTGCCTCGGTCCTCACATGGAGTGCCGCATCCCCATTGGTTCTGCAATGGACATAAATAGATAAACAGAGGTTAACGTGATGGTTCATTTTCATGGATGAACACCCCACAAAAAGCAGAACCATTTCTGGTTCTATGTGCTATCCTATCGGGTCTGGAGGTTATGTAGCAATTTCAACATCACAAATCAATTATTATTTTATTAATGAACAACAAGAGGAAAAAGACTGATCACCGATATAACTACAGCCACACATCTATACGTACATGCCTTTAGATCTCGGATCTCGTGGTAACGGTTCTTGTCTATGTCTCTAAGCTGTCGAGTTGTCCATTTTCGTCATTTTCTTATTTTTCCGATAAGTATTGTGTCTCTCGTTAGAGCTCCTTTGTTTAATGAAATTTTGGCAACATACATATGGAGAATACGATATTCTAAGTAATTTTAGAGAGATGACGCAATCTAGACCATGAATTAAATAACATTTGACATATAGTACTATAATTAACTTCTGATGGGTGAAACCCATGCTTTATTTCTCTAAACTCAAACCCCATATCAATTTACTAAAAACAATAAATGACAAATTTAATTTGTCGAAGTTTATTATGATACATCCATTGATTAATGATTATATCACTTGAAGTATACTAGATTCCAAGAATGTATAAGCATTTACTCTATATATCGCCATGTAATTAGTTAAAAAACCCTAATTGGACGCAAAATAAAGTTTGTAGACTATGCATTAAACTAATTGTGTCAAATTGTTGGCTTTCAGATGACCCACCAAAATTAATGATGTTTACTAAACAATAATCTCTTCTTGTTCAATTGTTTTGGAGCGCTATCTGTCCTCCAAAATTTTCGTTAATTTTTGGTGGTCTAATCCTTGCCTACTTGGTTGAGGATGGAGATTGTATAGATAGTGATCGGAGCTGCATGTGCTCTAGTTCCCCATCTTCTTATTGATCCGTATATGTTCTAATTTCTTTGCTTCCCGTGATGGTTATGTTCTAACTTCTGTATTATTCACGCCAACTTAAATGAGGATTTCCAAATGTGTGTGTGATTAGTTATGTATACCTAAAACCTAACTGCTTTAACACATTGAATAACATCATCCACTAATCTTTGTCAGCCTGTAAACATAACTTGTATGGATTTGTATTTTAGATTCTATCATTATGATTTTCCACAACCATTTTAATTCGATAATCAAACTCATCCAAATCCAGCTTTGTCAAACCGTCCATATAAGATATATAGTTGTGCGTAATGAATGGGTGGTACTCCGAAACATGTTACCAATTAAATATCGGGTGAATTTGTATATGCACTAGATAAACCAAAGAACCACCCAATTTCTCCTAATCCAAGATTCTCAATTCCTCTTGAATTGTATGCTAGTGGCCCCCAACATCTTCAAAATTTCAACTACAAATCATCTACGAATCTTTCTTCATCTCCCCATTTTGTATTTTAGCTTATGTATCTCCTCAAAAAGTATATGATTATTTATATGGGAGTTGTTATTTGTCGAGCGTATATATTTTTATTATTTGTCACTCATATGGTTTGTGGAAAATGACAATTTTTTCCTTCCTCCATTTATTTATATTCTATTGGAGAAAATATTTTTTGTACCCAACACTTCAACCACATTAATGAGCCTGAACCCTTATTGACAAGTTAACTCAAATTAGGTATATGTTATATAATTTTTTATGTCGAAAATGGGAATGGCGAGGATGGTGCACAAGAATCTCGTGTAAATAATTTGGTAAAAATATTTGTCTGTGGTAGCGCTTACGCTTCAATTTTCTGACTGGAATGGAATCTCATCTGTCGGTTGTCGGAAATTCCTTATCGATAAAAAAAACTATCGGTTATCAAAAATTCCAGATCAATAAAAAACAGGGGTTGACTAACCACTACTTTCCACCTTCAGTCGTATGATATGTACATTCGGTCAGGAAAGCACTGTCTAACTAGCCCTCGCTGTCGTAATGTTTGCGTCTGACAAGGGCTACAAGTTTGGTACCGATATTTGTGATATACCGAATATCATACATAATTTATCACTGTTTGGTATTTACCAAATACAGGTTTAATTTTTGGGTGTGATTCAGATTCATTTTGTATTCTTAATTACGAGATTGGGATCGGTATATATACCAAAATACTGATAAACAACAAAGATAAAAAAATTAATTAAATATAACACACATACTTTGGTTCTTCCTCACTCTTTGACGACTCACAAACCCCCCATCTCTTGTTATTTTCATGACATAAAAAAGCATACACTCTCATTAGTTGTCTCTCAAGCTCCAATCCATCAAACTAAAGATTACCAATAACAAGAAAGAAGATATTATCATCTCCTCCATTCTCTTTATCCATGTCCTAGCCTTAGACAAACCCGCAAAAGCTTGGAGGGGTTTAAATGTCATTGAGGTTCTAATTAATTAGCTTATGACAATTGAACCCAATTGATCCAAGTCATTGGTGAGGCAAAATTCGTCAACACCGTGTTCAACTTGCTTTAGCCGATTTGAATTAGGTCGAATACTCATTGATTTTGGTTCAATCTCGGCTTAAGTATCATTAGTTAATTAATTGGAACCTTAATAGAACCTTCAATTTGAACTTAGTTGTCACAAACTAATTAATTAGATCCCTAGTGTAAAAAAAAACCTTTAAACTTTGGTCAATTACAAAAGACCACCTCTTGTGTGCCTGGACCTAGGGCTGTTAGTCGGTTCGGTTTTGGTTAAACCGAACCGGTCAGTCGGTTAGCCGACACAAATAAAGAGCTGAAATAGGCAACCGCAACCGATTGAGTAATCGGTTAGCCGAAACCGCCAACCAAAAGCCTCGGTTTGGTTTGGTCGGTTAGACTTTGACTGAAATAAAAGGGAATTAAAAAATAACCCCACACGATTTTGGATCCTCCCCACTGTCCCTATCTCCAAAGAACAACTCTCTCTCTACTCTATCCCTCTCCGCCCCTCTGGCTCTCTGCTACCCTCCCTCTCCCCTCACCAAATCTCCATCTCTACCTCTCTACTACATTTTCCCCTCACAAAATCAACACGAAAAATCAACATAAACTTGCAAGGAATAGGTGTTGGATCTGGCCGGATTTCTCACTCTGCGATGACGACGACGAAGGTCGACAATCGGCGGCGCCGCCGATGATGGATGGCAATCGACGCCGACGAGGACGTCGAGGATGAGGGGGTAGGTGGCGGATGCGATGATGAGAGAGGCTTCCACTTTCGGCCAGATTCGGCCAGTTTCGGAGAGAAGGGTCGGCGAAGTCGGGCGGGGAAACTTGGGATGTAGAGGGTGGTGGTATTGGCCTGGTGGGAGGCTGGAGATGGAGAGGGAGAGAGGGTCGATGCAGGGTGAGGAAAGGGAGATGAGAGGTTTGTCGGTTGCAGCGGTGCACCGAGTTTGATCTCGGTTAGAAACCGGCAACCGACGGTTAGCCTAAAGCCTAGAATTAGCCCACTGACGCCGACACCGAGGCAAATATCTCGGTTTTCGGTTAGGTTGATAACCGTGATTTTCGGTTCGGTTTTTGGTTCAACCGATTAACCGTCAACCGATTATCAGCCCTACCTAGACCTTCAGGGAGTTTTATACTACGATTTTTAGGAGACCAGACAATAAGCCTAGACATTGAGGGATTTTCTCATACTATGTTATAGGGTGTGAAAATACAAAATTCCCTCACTTTGTATATGAATTACGATCACTTGACCCAATCCCATAAGAATTTTTTTCTAGTTGAGACTAATATGGTAAAACCTAGGACATTCAATGAAGTAGTCGAGGAAGTCACTTGTGGAAATGCAGTGAGAGATGAATTGAAAGCTCTAAAGGATAACGAAACTTGGGACATTATAGATTGTTGGGTAAGAAAGAAACATTTGGGGGACAAATGGGTGTACAAGATCAAATTAAACTCAAATGAAAGCATTGAAAGATACAAAGCTAGTTTGGTAGACTCAAGTGTACATACCGGATTTCCTAGATACATTCTTACCAATTATGAGGATGAATGATGTGATCATATCAAAGCGATAAAATCCTAGGATGCCCTAGAGTCGTATTCGTCGAGGTCTTCTAATGAATAACTACTCACACTAACCATCCATGACACACGAAAAAAATATGAAAGACTTTTAGGCCTTTACTTTTAACAAACAAGCAAAGCAAGAAGAGTAAAGTTGCTAAGATGTTTTTCAATTTATAGATACATAAAAGTAAATATACGTTATTGTAGATTAGAGCAAAATCAAGTATTATCATACATACTATGTCTCAATCACAACATGCATTGATGATTCATCTATTATAATACCCTATCCCTTCCTCTAAGGTCACTCTCTACCTGTGCATGCATCTCTTGCAGTAGAGATTTAACTAGTTAATGTGTGCTTTCGCTTCATGTCATCGTCTAATTAATGAAGAACAAATAAGTTAGATAACATACGATTAATTGTGGGCTTATATGAACCATAATCGTACTCTATAGTAATGATGATCTAACAATCAAGCAGTGATACTACTCGAGGTATAGATGGTTTATCATTTCCTCTATACTCATGTAGCATCAATGGGGTATCACAAGAGGGTAATTTCTTATCAATCTAGGTCATACTAATCACAATGCATATAGTAGCATACAATAGAATAGAATGATAAGCATTGATGATAAAAAGCATTGATATTATATAAACATCAATGACCATCACATAAGCATCAAAACTAAAACATTCATAGATAGGCCATGGGCATCGCGATTTTCACAGAAAAACAAAAGCATTCGATGACATCATATCTTTCATTCACATAACAATAAACAAGTCCACATCTTCACACGCTCAATTTCAACTAGTTACATAGAAGAGAAAGAAGGTACCATCATTGATGATCAGAACATTTCGTTAGCCGCAGCTGGTGGCGGCGCCAAGGCCACGTCGGCGGTGGTTGAAGCATCCTGCGGTATGCTCCTCATCGCGGCTCACTCCAAGCGCAACTCCTCTCATATCTTAGCTAGCCGATTCACCTCTCCAGTCGATTGGCGATTGAAAGCTCGAATGCAGGCAGATATTTCAGACTTCAATCCACCCATACATGACCCCATAATCACGACCTCAGTCCAACCGCGACAACGATTCAACAACTTCTCAAAAGTTTATTGGTACTCGTCGACGGATCCGGTTTCACGAATCTTGGCCAATGCCTCATGTCAGGACCACTACTCCGACGACCATAACTCGGCACACAGATTGCCCCAAGGCATAGTCACCCCGTGCTTTGCAAACTCTTCCTCCAGCCACACAATCCACTGGTTTGCGTCGGGATCCATATGATAAGTAGCCAGTGCCACTTTACGCTCTTCTATAATGCACTGGTAGCAAAAATATTTCTCGATATGCGAGACCCACCCTGATGCATCCTCCTTGCCAGTGAACTACGGAAACTTTAGTTGTGGGATTGGAGCCCGAAACATAGTTTGACTCGATTCTTCTAATTGGCTCGCCGACCCGTTAGGCGAGATGTGGTCCGCCAAGAACCTACTCATGCACTTATGTTCCAGTCCAGGTGGGGGTCTCGGCCTAGCCCATTTCGATTATGCTCTAGTTGCGGCCCACGTAGCACTTGCCCCGCTCCAACTCCCATCCATGGCCCAATTGGCATGATCGCTTGGCCCGTCATTCCTGGAGGCAGCCTAGCGCGCGACTCATGGTCGATGAAGCTCGGCCTGCCCATACTCCCTCCTGGCTCACTTGGAATTAGGGCAGTTAGCCCACCCAATCATGGCCCATTAGCACCTATAGAGAATGCTCTTCTAGTTATCCCGGGCCACTTGCGCTGCCGGTCCACTACTGAGGCCCAGTCTCGCTTTGGTCCTCCTGGTTCGCACCCGGCCCAACCCTGTAGGGAAGAGCTCCAGTAAGCCCGCCCATATTTGGCCCAAGGCCGGGAATTAGGGATGGTTCTCGCGAGTTGCCGGCTCGTGGCCCAACCTAGACGGCGACCTCCCCCCTTGGGAGACTACTTACCCTTCTTCGCCGTCGACGATGAGATTTCCCCAACCAGAACCGACGGGAATTCCCCGACCATTTCCTCTATCGTGCGCTCCCTCTCCTTGCTTTGCGCTCCAAATGGTTTCCTTCTCGCCGGCCTTCTTCGCCGATTTCGGCGGCGGGCTCCGCGCGACTGGCGAGAGAACCTCCCTTTAGTTTCTCCACCATGGAGATTTGGTCGATGGTGTGAGTTCCCTGTTTGGCAGCGCGGACCCGCTCCCCTAGTTACTTGGTCGCCTTCCTTCCCCATGGAGAATCACGGAGAATAGCAAAGATCGAACTAACATCACTTGCCAATCGATTTTTCTTAACGCGCATGACGTTGATCTCTTCCTTCAGACGATCTTGTTCGTCCTGCAGCTTCGTCCGCGTTGGAGTTGCCCTACATCGACGCGCAGGTGTTCCAAGGCAACTTCATGATCGCGGTTCATGGCGTCTTGGGCTTTGAACCTGGCTGCGATCGCGCGCTGGTGACCGGCGAGGGCTTGGAGTTGTTGCCCTAACTCCTCGTCGCCGCAAGCTTCTGGTGATGATGGTTGCGTTGGCAGCTTGCGGGGCGACATGGTTCCTTGGCTTGGTTCCGTCAAAACCAGACTCTGATACTAATTGGTGCGTGATAGGATCTCACACGTCGTAGAACTCGAACACTACAACGAGATAAGTAGAGAACGCGGTAAAAGAGAACTAATTTACTATTAATTACTAGACTTTATTACTCATATCAAAATTGAAGGGCAAAGATTACTTATTTATAGGACTAATCCTACAAACCCCTTTCCCTTGAGACAAGGAAACTCAATCTCAAACCAACAAATAAACAACTACTTCCTAAATAATAATAATAATAATAATATGAATAACCAAATATTAACCTAATATCCCAAACGATAATTAATACGAAAGAAAAATAATAATATTGATAATAATCTAACTCGACCAAAGGTGCTATAAGGCACCAGAAAGTTTATGCTTGAGAAAGAAACAAGAAAAGAACTGTTGGAGGTTAACCAAATTAGAAGGATCAAGATCTCTTCATTTCTGGCTTCGTTGAAGGAGCAAAATTATAAAGTTCCTCTGTAATATGCCTCATGTCAGGACGACTACTCCGACGACCATAACTCGGCACACAAATTGCCCCAAGGCATCGTCACCCCGTGCTTTGCAAACTCTTCCTCCAGCCACATAATCCACTGTTTTGCGTCGAGATCCAATGCTCTTCTCGTTATCCCGGGCCACTTGCGCCGCAGGTCCACTACTGAGGCCCAGTCTCGCTTTGGTCCTCCTTGTTCGCACCTGGCCCAACCCTGTAGAGAAGAGCTCCAGTAAGCTCGCCCATATTTGGCCCAAGGCCAGGAATTAGGGATGGTTCTCGCGAGTTGCGGGCTCGTGGCCCAACCTAGACGGCGATCTCCCCCTTGGGAGACTACTTACCCTTCTTCGCCGTCGACGGTGAGATTTCCCCAACCAGAACCGACGGGAATTCCCCGACCAGCTCCTCTATCGTGCACTCCCTCTCCTTGCTTTGCGCTCCAAATGGTTTCCTTCTCGTCGGCCTTCTTCGCCGATTTCGGCGTCGGGCTTCGCGCGACTGGCGAGAGAACCTCCCTTTAGTTTTTCCACCATGGAGATTTGGTCGATGGTGTGAGTTCCCTGTTTGGCGGCGCGGACCCGCTTCCCTAGTTACTCGCTCTCCTTCCTTCCCCATGGCGAATCACGGAGAATAACAAAGATCGAACTAACATCACTTGCCAATCGATTTTTCTTAACACGCATGACGTTGATCTCTTCCTTTAGACGATCTTGGTCGTCCTGCAGCTTCGTCCGCGTTGGAGTTGCCCTACATCGGCGCGCAGGTGCTCTAAGGCAACTTCATAATCGTGGTTCATGGCGTCTTGGGCTTCGAACCTGGCTGCGATCGCCTGCTGGTGACCGGCGAGGGCTTGGAGTTGTTGCCCTAACTCCTCGTCACCGCAAGCTTCTGGTGATGATGGTTGCGTCGGCAGCTTGCGGGGCGACATAGTTCCTTGGCTTGCTTCTATCAAAACCAGACTCTGATACTAATTGGTGCGTGATAGGATTTCACGCGTCGTAGAACTCGAACACTACAACGAATAAGTAGAGAGCGCGGTAAAAGAGAACAAATTTACTATTAATTACTAGACTTTATTACTCATATCAAAATTGAAGAGCAAAGATTACATATTTATAGGACTAATCCTACGAACCCCTTCCCCTTGAGACAAGGAAACTCAATCTCAAACCAACAAATAAACAACTACTTCCTAGACAAGACATAATAAATAATAATAATAATAATAATCCTAGACACAAACTAATATGAATAACCAAATATTAACCTAATATCCCAAACGATAATTAATACGAAAGAAAAATAATAATATTGATAATAATCTAACTCGACCAAAGGTGCTATAAGGCACCAGAAAGTTTATGCTTGAGAAAGAAACAAGAAAAGAACTGTTGGAGGTTAACCAAATTAGAAGGATCAAGATCTCTTCATTTCTGGCTTCGTTGAAGGAGCAAAATTATAAAGTTATGTAGATTGGTATATTTGTTAGTTCATATGATAAGATTGCAAACTTTACTTTATGAAGTAAGCTTCATTGCATTATATAGCAAAAGCCAAAAAGGAATAGGAGCTTCATCTCCATTATAACAAAAAATAAACTCCAAATAGAATCTTTTTCAACAAAACTTCTAAAAGAAAATTTAGTTGAAAAGATCTTTATACTCCAATTTTCTCCAAGTTGCTACCAGTCGAAACTGGTCTTGGACAAATCAAGTAATGACTAATGGATGTCAACCAAAAGAAATTGATTACCACCCATTGTCTACTCAATTCACTACAAATACATTCCTGAAAGAGTCCGAGTCGTTATTTACATCATTGATAAATTATTGGATTGGATGGGTGATTTGAGCTCAAAACCCCTCAAAATTTGCCCACTGCTCCCCTTACCCCTTCAATATGTTTATAAACATGATGGATTGTATTATTAACAAAAAAAAAAATTTGCAAGAAGTGGCCGTAAGGAGGTTTAAACATGATGGATTGTATTATCATAAATCGAAAAATATAAGTAACCAATTTGTTACAATTTGAAGTTGTGATACCTTTGTTACTTAAACATGGCATAAAGACCATTTAGAAAATCACCTCGATCTGTATAATTTTTATTTGTTTTGGGTTCTCGACAACCGGCCTGCTAGACTACGACCTCAGTTTAATAAGAGGGTTTTCAATTTGCATTCACAGTCATTGCACAATACAACAAACGCCATCAAAATGAAAACTACAATCCAATGCCATTAAAAACGCCAAAAAGCAACGCATTAAAAGAAAGAATCCAGAGGTAGGAAATCCGTCGGTGGAACCAAAAAGTGTGTTTGAACGCAATATATTTCACGGTTTCAGCCAATCGGGAGATTAACGAGGAAAAGGATGTCTTTGACAGAATAGTATCTTCAACAGAGGCGAAACGGGAGAAGAGTTATAAACTACTAACTGACTGTCGAAAAAATGGACAAATAGGAATAGGGACGATGGAGCTTTGACAAGAAAAACAAATGTTGAGCATTTTGATGGCGAGGTGACGACGACCCCGGCATGTGCAGCTGAGCAATTTCATTGGCCGGGAAAAGGCTAAGCAGGCGGCCACGTGGACATGATCCGGGGCCACCACGTGGGAGGTGAGACTGTGGATGCGAGAAGTTGGGAGGTTGTTTTCTTCCACCAACCGATCAAAACTGCCAACACCGACGGGAAAAAAAAGGGATTCACGTTGCTCCTCTGAAGTGTTGATATGATTTGAATCGGACTATCAGCCGCTACGATTGGAAGTCACGATGTATGGGTCGATACACGTTTGGGTTGTCATTTTTGGGGGTTAGGTTTAGACCCATATGGAGAAGTATAAATACTTCACATCTCCTCTGTAATATGTAATCTCCTTGATATAGTGAAACTGGTTCTTTCCTGGCCGTGAACTAGCTAACACACATTGTGTTAGTGAACCACGTAAATCGTGTATCTGTTTTTCGATTCTCGTTTTCGTAATCTTGCTTTCTCGATTTCGGCGATTTCTCGATCCGTAGTAGCAGCGCAGTTATAACAAGCCGATTCCGCACCACATCCTGAATCAACGGCCGAGACTCCAGTACCCGTGAAGGGAAGGGGGACTCCCGCCATGTGCGGGGAATAGAGAGTAAAGGGTCAGCGAATGAACAGTTCGGCGGTGGAAGGAATGCCCTGCCGGTTAGGGGACGATGGCGGCTTTGGAGATTAATGTAAAAAATGGGCAATTCCGCCAAGTCATCATTTTTGCTTCGAGATTCCGCCGGAGTTTACGGCGTTGAGTGGAGGTATATAATTCTGGTTTGGTGTGGGGCATATATCGCACATGCGCGCCTAAGCCCATTAGCCATTGCGTTTGCGTATAAGAAAACTAATCAAAGGGTCGGCCTGGTTTTCGTTATACCCAAAAAATATGGATAGATACCGTTAATGTCTTGCCAAATAATAGGATGTGAGTGAATAAAAAAAAAATCCGAGTTGGAAATTCAAGTGATTTCACGTTCACTCGTTAGTGCTACCAGACATGCATTTCCACGAAGGAAATGGAACGCTTCATATACTTTTATTTTTCTTTTCATTCATAAAAAATCAAATGTCTATAGATATTTCTTGCGAAATATCAAAATTTTCTGACAGAGTTATACATTCGTTGAAAAGGGTTCATCAATCTTATATTTATTTTTTTGTTTAAAAGATCTTGGTAATAAACTTTGCGTCAAAGATTAAGCAAGCTAAATTGGCTTGGTCCCATCGGATCCCCAACAACAGATTTTGTCACCAAAAGTAAGTGAGTAACATGGTAGCCATTTCCGTTTGCTATGTCCATAATCCATATGTATATATAACGTTAACCCAACGATATGACTTGAATCGGAATATCAACTGCTATGAATGTAAGTTACGGGGTCTCGTTGTATAGGCTCAATGTTATTTGGGTTCGTATTTTGGGTCTGGTTGTAACCGGTTTTCCTTTACTATATTGGATTATGATTAGACCTTGAAGAAGTAATATAAATACTTCTCATACTCCTCTGTAATATGTATCTTCTTGAAGTATCGTGAAACTGGCTCTCTTCTGCCTGAGGACTAGTTAACCCACATTGTATTAGTGAACAAATATTTATTTTTAGGTGTAAACAAATATTTATTTTTTGTTTAAAAGATCTTGGTAATTCACTTTGCGTCAAAGATTTAGCAAGCTAATTTGGCTTGGTCTCATCGGATCCCCAACAACAGATTTTGTCACCGAGTAACATGGTAGCCATTTCCGTTTGCTATGTCCGTAATCCATATGTATATATAACGTTAACCCAACGATGTGACTTGAACTACGAAGTCACTTTTTCATTTTTCAACTTCATCTCGTCAAATCCGTTGAGGCTTTAGACTTGCTACTATTGGAAGTTATGAGATTTCGCTGTATGAGTTTAATGTTATTTGGGTTCGTGTTTTGGCCCTGGTTATAACCGTTCTTCCTTTATCATATTGGACTAGGGTTAGACCTTGAAGAAGTAATATAAATAATTCTCATACTCCTATGTAATATGTATCTCCTCGAAGTATATTGAAACTAGCTCTCTCCAGCCCATGGACTAGTTAACACACATTGTGTTAGTGAACCACGTAAATCATGTGTCGTGTGTGTACTTCGTTTTACCGCTTTATCGAATCCTCATATTTTCCGATCCGCAGAGCAACCATTCACACAACCTTTACCTTATAGTTAGAGGGTTATTTGGTTTGTATTCTGAGTTTGGTTTGGGTTTAGTCTATGCTCTAATGAACTTATCCATGTCAATTGTCATAAACAGAGGTCCATTTGAACTTTTGTGATATTAATTTGGATGTGGGCACAAATTTATCTGTCCACTTTCGATGAAATAATGGATGGAGATGAACAAAATATCTGTCTTCTAAATTAGTACATGTAAAGTTAATAATGTCTAATCTAAATTACATTTTATTAGTAACCTCTAACTTAAGTGACCATCTATATATGTACCAGTACAAATCTACATTTATACTAAAAGTACAAAATGAAGATTCCACCAAGACTCGAACTCTAACATTTTGAGTTATCTTTTTATGTATAGTGTTGCATATACCTGGATGTTGGGTGGGCACGCTTCGGGCTCGTTAATCTCGTGTCGTGCTTAGCATATCCCGTAAGTTTTCGTGTCATGTTGTGTTAGCTCAATTTTCAAATTCTTTTAAGTCTTGCACTAGTTAGCGTACGATTGTAATCGTGTCGTGCCTACTGGTGCTCGTGTCATGCCGATCTTATTCGTGATTAATGAAAAGAAACCAATTAATTGAGGGAATGAAAAAGAAGGGAAAAAAAATTGGAAGGAGAATGAAAGTATTAATTGATTGTGTTTATACTTATTAGGGTCGAAGAAAAATCATCGTTCGTTATAGTCCACTTATAAATTGTGTTGTGTATAACCGTCTATACTCATATCGTACTGATCAATACATCTCGTACCCGTACTCATATCGCGTTCTAACAGTATGGTATTGTGTTAAACCGTGGACCCGACCCGGTTTCACCCCTCTCTCTCACTCTAATGATTATGACCAGAAGTCCGCCACAATTTACTGGTACCTGCACTGCCCTCTAGGTACCTCCGATGATCAGCGTGATGTGATGTACCACTCTCCCACAGTCAAAACCGTAAATGATGAAAACTAAAGTGGGTCGAAGAAATGTTGCAGAGACAAACCGCACTGCCAAAATTTTGAAAACCACAAAAAATCCCCCCTCTGCCCACAACCACAACAGTAGTTAATTTGAGAGTTTGCTTTGTTGACCGGTCAACGTTTGCTCCCGTCCGCCACGTAGCTTTACTCTTTCCTTTCCTCCCTTGTCTTCTACCTTTTTCACTTCTCTAGGCATGCGGCCGCCCAACTTAACGGCCAAAAACTACCAACAAACAGACAAACACCACCAACATTATAATTATTAATTACCCCAAAAGATGTGAAAGGTAAAGGCTTCCCTTCCCTTCCCCCCGTAATTCCAGCAATCAGCCAATCACCTCCAAAAAAACTAACCACAACCGGCGCAGTGATTGCAGCATGCTCTGCCTCTCTCTCTCTGCCTCACTCACCCTACATTTTCAATTTATTAGACCCCACCAAACCCAGAAATGTTCGCCTTGTTTGTTTCCACTTCCACACCCAAAAACCCTTCCTCTAACTTGTAGCTGTAGGCTTTGTGTCCTCCTCTGCTTCTTCTATATATACCACACCCAATTCCTCACTTCCCATTCATTCCCCTCCACCACACAACCCAAACCCACAAACAACAATGGCATTACCCTCCACCTTCATTCTCCTCTCTCTCCTTCTCCTCCTCCTCCCTGCCCTCATTTCCTCCTCCCCTGTCCACGACCCCGATCTCGTCGTACAAGAAGTACACCGGTAAGTACACTTCCCCTCTCGCCACGATTAGTCTCAGCATTGTGTCTCCCGACACGACATCGTTGTAGAATTCAATTCCCCCTAGTAATTGTGGTCAATTTGTAACATTTTTTTGGGTACATTTTGTTTTGTTAGTTGTTACTGCTATAGTAGCTAGACTACAAAAATGTGTAATATTTTTTTTTTTTTAATTTTTTTATACAGGGCAATTAATGCGTCGAGGAGGATGCTAGGGTACCTGTCCTGCGGAACAGGGAACCCAATCGACGACTGCTGGCGTTGCGACCCAAACTGGGAGAAGAACCGGCAGCGTCTCGCCGACTGCGCCATCGGGTTCGGCAAAAACGCCATCGGCGGCAGGGACGGCAAGATCTACGTGGTCACCGACCCGAGAGACAACGACGCCGTGAACCCGAAACCGGGGACCCTCCGCCACGCCGTGATCCAAGACGAGCCGCTGTGGATCATCTTCCAGCGCGACATGACCATCCGGCTGAAGGAGGAGCTGATCATGAACTCGTTCAAGACCATCGACGGCCGCGGGGCGAGCGTCCACGTGGCGGGCGGGCCGTGCATCACGGTCCAGTACGTCACCAACATCATCATCCACGGGATCAACATCCACGACTGCAAGCAAGGCGGGAACACCAACGTGCGGGACTCCCCGCGGCACTACGGGTGGAGGACGGTGTCGGACGGCGACGGCGTGTCGATCTTCGGCGGGAGCCACGTGTGGGTGGACCATTGCTCCCTGTCCAACTGCAACGACGGGCTGATTGACGCCATCCACGGCTCCACGGCGATCACCATTTCCAATAATTACATGACCCACCACGACAAGGTCATGTTGTTGGGCCACAGCGATAGCTATACTCAGGACAAGAACATGCAGGTCACAATTGCGTTCAATCACTTTGGCGAAGGTCTCGTTCAGAGAATGCCCAGGTAATTAACAAAATTATTATATATGAATTAATTAATGGGTATAATTATTATTGATGAGAGAATTAGCAATGGTAATCAAGTAGAATTATTAATTGTAATTTTTGGGAGCAGGTGTAGGCACGGGTACTTCCACGTGGTGAACAATGACTACACACATTGGGAAATGTACGCCATTGGAGGGAGTGCTAATCCGACCATCAACAGCCAAGGCAACCGATTCGTTGCTCCTAATAATAGGTTCAGCAAAGAGGTACAGTCTGTAACATCACATGTGACTTACCTGCTTTCGACAATATATTTTTATATATTTCGAATCGTTAGTTTGATCGATCATTTCACCCAATTCGATCTATGATACGATTTCGTAATCCATATGTGTACAAACGCGCAGGTGACGAAATACGAGGATGCGCCGGAGAGCGAGTGGAAGAATTGGCATTGGAGATCGGAAGGGGATTTGATGTTGAACGGGGCGTTCTTTACGACGTCGGGGGCAGGGGCGTCGTCGAGCTATTCCAGGGCGTCGAGCTTAGGAGCGAAGCCATCGTCACTTGTGGGTTCGATCACAGTGGGAGCTGGTGCGCTCACTTGCAGAAAAGGCTCGCGTTGCTAGCCGATGGTCAAGAACTCGAAGATGGATGGATGGATGGATGATACATATACATAAATTAATTGAGCCTCCAAAGTTGGGGGACCTTATTTACTAGTTAGAAAAAATGTGGGGGGTAAAGGAAGGACCGGAAGGAAGGGCTAATTAAGAAGGAGTGGAGAAAAAAAGGGGTATGGAACAGTAATTTTACAGCTGGGGGGTTGGAGAGGGGATTAATGATGAATGTGGTGGTGGGAATTGAAGGGGATGAAAAGTCTTACCCTCTTCACAGTATTGTCGTTTGGTTTGTTCTTTTTTTGGTTTATTTTTATTTTTGGGCCGACTCGTTAAGCAGTTTGATGTAACAACCTCGGCTTGTTAATCTTAGGATCCATCCGATCAAAAGGATTCTGTTGCGAGGAATCAGAAATTGGATAGATTTCTAGGAAGATTGTTGGAAAAAAGAACAAGTTTAGAAGTGTTGATATATGTGTAAAGTATATGTTTATAAGTTAAATGTAGTGTTTTCTGATCCTCCATCTGCAATCTTACTTATTGTTTGCCCTTTAGCTAAGAATGCCTTGATAGATATTAGATAGTAATATTTACTTCCATGCATAACAATGTCAACTATTTCCACAAGTTCATACAAAGTTTGAAACCTACTCATCATGGCACCATACATGACGAGTGCTAAGTCACGGATACAAAACAAAATTCAACGACTTCAATAATATTACGAAACTTTATGATCAATAATTTAACTTAGTGTTGTTATACTTGTATTTCGTTAACTTCCATTCCCTGTTGGGAATTCAGCACCGATGCTTACACTCTTGGTGTAGGCAAAAATTGGACACTTAAGTCTTATCGTTATAACTAGAGGTGGCAATTGGATCGGATTCGTGGATTCGTGGATTGGATTGGTGGATCCGTGGATCAAATGGATTGGATCCAATGGATTGGTGGATTCATGGATTGGATCAAATGGATTGGTGGATTGATCCATGAATCCAAATGACATCTAAGGCTTGGACCAAAATATAAATTTTGAAAATTTTAGGTACTAAAATATCATAATAAAAAATTTTAGGTATCAAAATGTAATTTTCCAATGATATTTTTCGTATAAAAATATTAATTTTAGGTACCAAAATGTAAACTATAAAAAATATAGGTACCAAAACGTAATTTGTCATTTGGATCCATGGATTGATCTATGAATCCACCAATCCAATTGGATTTAGATCAAATGGATTGGATTTAAATAGATTTAATTAGATGGATAATTTGGTGGATGGATTGGATAGGATTCATGGATTTGGATCCTAATTGCCACCTCTTGTTATAACGGAGATCTAATTTGCAGGACCCACGAGAGGATTATGGAATCAATTGGGGCTGGGGACAGATAAAGAGACCTAATAGAAAAAGAGCAAAGGCACATGCAATGCAAGGCAATGGAAGTTGTTTTCATGAATGGTCTCCTATTGAGTGGACTAAAAAAAAAAAAAAAAAAAAAAATTGGCCTGTTTCCAACTTCCTCTTTAGATTACATCTTTGACAAAGTTGCACCATTGTCCCCAACGATTTCACGGTCCATTTTCCCCTCCACTTAGCCTAATTATTGCACATGCATCGTACAAAGAAAACTTGAACTGGATTCATTATGGAAAAGTGGGGTTTAAGGCATCCAATTTTGAATTTTATATATTTTTATTCATATTTTAACTCGGATATATTAGTAAATTTTGTTTTATCTACACTTTTAGTCTTTTACCTTTTTTTTCTTCGTTATACATTTATTTTGGAATTGATTTTTTATTACAATAGCTCTCTTATCCGGTGGTGAATAAGAATGACCGTAATGCGTTCCACTCATTCTAACCGATCCTGCTCACCTATATTTATCGCTAAAATTAGGAATTAAGATTGGGCGAGGGTTTTATTTTGTGAAACCTGCCTATCTTGGATTTGGTGTAGGTTTTGGGTTACGCAACCTGTGGATACCCGTTACAACCCATGTTACAAGGTAATGGATCAGGTCCGTAATCATATGGTGAGTAACCATGAGTAACCCGTCCACATCAGCATGACATCAGCCTCTCTCTCTATCTGTGCAAAAAAATATTGAAAATGGATCTCATTTTGTAGAGCACAACGAACTCGTTCCATCTGTGCAAAAAAATTAAAATCCGAGTTAAAACGAAGAAGATATGAGCCGATTAAGAAAGCTAGGGAAAATAAAATGGCCTTTAATTCTCCATCCTTAGATATGGATTTTCTAAATGAAGAGTCCAGATTTAATTATTGATGGGTGCATAACCCATAATTATGCACCCTATCTTGAGTCATGTTACAACTATGTAGTATACAATCATATTAATGTTGGCATTTGAATATCTTTTCATATTAGACGTATTTATATAAGCTAGGCCTCTAGGGTTTACATTATTTTTTGCATGTGAATACAATTTTAGAAGAACATTATATTGTGGACAGTGGACGTGTTAGCTTATAGTGAATAATGCCTTAAGTTTATTTCCAAAAATATTTATGGAAAACACTAGATATATGAATCAAATTGCAATTTATCAAAATCTAAACAACAACTTCTATCCATTTTGATGTTGTACGCTTTGGTTTATTTGCTTAAAATTTCAATTTGTTATATGATTTTTTTGTGTTGGATTGAATTTTTACTTAAATATATAGCACATCCGACCCAACTAGGCATGTCAATGGGGCGGCTTTGGGGAGGGTTTGCCTAAATCATCCCCATCCTCGTTTTCAAATACCCAAACCCATACCGACCTCATACCCATACAGGGAAGATTTTGCAAACCCATTCACATAGTCGTGGTTTCGGGTACCGATGGGTAATACCCGCCCCGTCCATCCAACATTATTATACTTAAAATTTTACAAGAAATTTTTTAATTATAATACTAAAAGAACCTACTACATCATGAAGTCAACAAAACACGATCGTTTTCTTAATGCGGTTCAAAGAATATGATCCAAGAACATCCATTACTACATAATATAGAGTATAATATTTTCTAAATTATTATGCTCTAACTCCGATACATCTATTACGTAATAATTAGTTAACATAATCTTGTTGCCAAGGTGGAAAGTGAAAGAGTGAAGGGAGAAATGACGAAAATGAATTAGGTTTTGACTAGGGTGGACACTCAATTGCAGTTCTACTATTTATTTCCTCAAGTTACATTCATTATCATTGATAGGTTATAATTCGATCCAAATATTTTTTATATGTGAAGAAATTCACTTGGTGGGGCGTGCATGGGTATGGGCAGGGGAGGCTAAAACCATACCCGCCACATACCCATCAAACTTTTTGAGGATTCTACCCATACCCGCCCCATACACAGTCAAAGCGGGGAATCCTAGCGTTGACTAGGTCGAGGGTGGTCGGATACCCGGGGACATGGGTTTGATTGTCATCCCTAGAGCCAACCCAATAATAAACAAACCCTAAGGTTAATTTTTAGTGGGTTTGGATTTAGAATTCCCAAAACTGAAGTGTATTGGTCGGATGATTAAAACAACTAAACCTGAACCATCGTCTCGTGTACACCCCTAGTATAATATGTTGGGAATATGACATTGACATGATATCATTGATAGAAACCTACTTTTCGGGATTTATCATAATTATTATCATTAGGATTTTATTAGATATGGTTAGTAGTCTTTGAGTCATATTAGGATAGTCTATTATATTTTTTTCAATCATTAGCTATAAATATGTACTTTGGGTCTTTTGTTGAATTAAGCAGAAATTAATAAGAAAGTTATCCCTCCCAAAACCCTAATATTCTCCTCTCAACCTCGTCTTCACATCTACCTAGGCTGCCGACCATTCTTGTATGTTCTTCCCCAAATTCTCAATCTCTATCCCTAATCTCATCTCAATCCCTAATTCTATCCTCCAATCTCTAAATCCCCAATCAACCAACGCTATCGATAGAACCCTAGAAATAGGTTTCTATCATCTGGTATCAGAGCCATGGTCGAAAGTCTGAGTTCGTCACAACTCTCAACCGGGGACGAACAAGTATATGAAGACCTCATTCCCGACATCATGAGAATGGATCTACAGAATCGAGTTATTATGTTCTTCACCTTGCCTGGATTTGAGCAGGAACAGGTGGAAGTTCAGAGGATTGGATCCGATGTGCTAACAATAATCGGCCAACGACCATTAGGTGATGGACACAGATGGATCCGATTCAAGAAGCTTATTCTGTTCAGAGCTATATGCAACCTTTACCAATATCGCGCTGGTTTTGGGAAACGCAATTGCATCATCACAATTCCCAAGATCAACGCCCCTCTGGTCCACAACCACGTCGAAGAGGCGACGACAAAGCAGCAGTCGGGGGTCCAGGTTGACTCAGACGGCGACGATGAGCGGCGAGATGACCAACCGACTGTGGAAGAGCTTTTGGCGATCGAGCCACTGAAGAAAGAAGAACCACAGGCTCTGCGCGGACGAACGAACAATGACGATGGCATGGTTGGTGACCAAGTCGAAAGACTTAATGAAGCCGTAGACGACCAAGGCGCCGCCAGCTCTTCTCACCACCATAGTAACAGGGTCCACACAAATCACCCCCGTAGCCACAACGTCACTCACGGCAGCAAAGACGACCGTCCAGCGACAACAGCTCTTAGCGACCGCGACAACGTTCGTCCCTATTGCCGCAAGCCCGCAAGTTGTTGACCTCGGCGAACAGCTTCTCTGGGCCGAGGAAGAACAGACACACCCGTCAGAGGAGAAGACTGCAGGCACACCCAATATACGAGCAGCCGCGCCACTATGGCCGCCGCTGTCGTCAGAAGACCTCCAGCTATCTTCAGTCGTGGTTAAGTCCAACAAGAAGACGAAGGGTTGCGCCGACGTTGACCGAAGGCTGGAAGGCAAGGGTGTTGACGAAAGAAAAAAGGCGACGTTGGCTGGGCTCGACGCCGACAACAATCGACAAAGAGAAGCGGCAGGGGAGCACGTTCGACGGGTCTTCGTCGGCTGCCCGAATGCGCCCACAACGGTGGCAACAACTCCCTGCGAGGCGGCGTGGAGCACGATTGTCAAGGCTCGTCGCAGGCACCGCGAATCATGTCAGAAGCCTCTCAATCTGCGGATCCACGTGAGCGATAGAATGCAACTTTCGCGACGATATCGAGTGACGAGGACACAAGGTTGAGGAGGTGGCCGGAACTCAGAGGAACTCACAACAGCCCGGTGGTCCGCTCGTCGCCGAAAAGGGAGATGACGACGGCTGGTTGCGCGATGGAGAAGAGGATGAGTGCGGCGGCGCTGGGGTCGCCACTCACCCACCTGGGGGTTCTGTCGCCGTCGAAGAAGGAGGCGTCAGAGATGGAGAGGAAGGAGAAGGGTTCCGCCTCTCCCAACCCTAGGCCGAACCCCTCGATCCGCACAGGGCACCACCGAGGAGGCCATATGGGCCGAGTAAATGGGCCTGAAGGTGGTGAGTTGAGGGTAGCAGTCCGATTCGGGGAGAGAAGGCCTGGTCGCAATGAGCGAATTGGCGTTGGGCTTGATCAGTCGGAGTGGGTCGAAGAAAAAGTAGCGTACGGTCCGAGCTGGAGGGAATTCAACCAGATTCAAAGAACAGATGGGTCAAATATCCAAGGAAGAGTTTGGCTTCAAATGAGCCCACTGGTTAGGACTCTTTTGTTTGGCATTGGGTCGCGTCTGCAGAGAGGGATGGAGCCCATTATGGGTTGTGCTTTAAAAAAGATGGGCTCTGATAGCTGGGCATGGAGAATTCTTAGAGTTTAGGGTTGGGCGAAAGGGTTGGGCGTAGAAAACGTTGAATGGAGATATAAAAAAAACGCCTAGGCGCATTTAACGCGGGGAGTCGCGATTGTGGGCTTCTGGGCGACGCCCAGAAAAGAGAAGAGGGAGATGAATTTTTCGGTGCTGTGCGTTTTAGGAGGAAGGCCTGAAAAAGGAAAAACCCTATCTCCAATTACAAACAGCGAGAAGCTCTCCCTCTTTAAACTCTACAGCCTCCGTCGCTCTCCCTTCTCTCAAGACCGCCATCGTTCCTCTCCCTCCTCTCCACTCAGCCGAACGTCGTCCCTCTCTCGCCTCTCCAACCAGTCGACCATCGCCGTTCCTCTCCACCTAGCAGAACATCTTCATTTCAAGTCGCCGCCTCGTCCTCTTCTTTAGCCAACGAAGCAGACAACTTTGGAGAATCATGGGAGTCGTCGCCGCCGCCTCGTCCTCGCCGCCGGTCTCCAAAAGAAGTTCCCTCCATTGAAGGTACTGCTTCTTTCTCCTTCGAGCTTTGATATGTCTAGGGTCTTGCTGGCCTTGATCTATCCTTTTCTTTTCTCAAAATTTCCCTCTAATCCTCTATTGAAGGCCTGCTGGAGAAGATGGTTTTGGGGGTGGAAATGCCTGTTGAAGAAGAAAATGAGGCAAGGGAGAGCAGATGGTATGATGGATTGAGATTCGTAGGCATGAGTATGGTGGATTAAGGGCTTCTTATTTCGATTTTTTTCCACGTTTAATCTCGCCTAGGCTACGATTAATCGCCCTGGGCGCTGGGCGGTGCCTCCCCACCTAGTTGACGCTCAACGTCTTCTTGAACATTGGAATTGGTATATGGGCTTTCAGGGGAGAAGGGACCAAATGCAATTGGAGAAGTTTATGGGCCAGATCCAAGTAAGGTTTTTGAAGGCCTTGAGGAGTTGGTACTCAAAGATGGACTCTTGTATAAAGTAGCATCTTTGGATTCCTTAAGTTGCTGGAGTGTGAAGCCAGACAAAGAGGAGCTATTGAAGTTTGAGTTTGTCAATGAAGCCAAGG